ACTGGGGAAAACATCAGCACCCATGTTTCAGCACAGTGAAGGAGCCAGGGGACACAGTCCCAGCAGAATCCACTCAGGTGGCCTGCAGAGAGTCTTAAGAATCAGTGGCTAATGCTGGGTTTATTGGTCCATGTAAAGCAGGTGTAGGGAAAAGGGACCAGTCAAAGAAACACACCCTGAGCAGAGCCAAAGAAACACACTTTGGCCCTGCAACCACAACCAAAGAAATGTACCCTGACCCTAAAACCAGTGCCAAAGGAACACACTTTGTCCCTGGAATCAGAGTCAGTGAAAGAAATGTACCCTGGCCCTAAAATTGGAGGCAAAAGGCTAAAAAGGTGTTGGGGAAGTCCTGTTATTTGCCTGTGCATTTGTCAATAAAGTACTGTCTGGCCAATAGAAAACCTAGATAGGAGGGACTAGGAGTCGAGGAGGATTCTGGGAAGGGGAAACACAAGAGAGTCAACATGTAACCGCCATGGGGGTAGGAGCCCAGAACTATTCTCCGGTAAGAGACATACTTAGATTAACAATTATGGGGTAATTACTTAAAGCAGAGCTAGCCAGTAAGAGACAAGCAAGGCCAACAGCTTCATAATGAATATAGCCTCTTGTGTGTTTATTTGGGATTGAAGCAGCTCTGGAAGCAGGCTGGCGGGAAGGCTCCTCTCAAGGAAAGCTTCTCTTAACAAAAAGGACCAGAGAAAGAAACACACTTTGGCCCTGAAACCAGAGCCAAATCTGACCCTAATCCTGTGTAAAAAAGTAACCAATCCCAGAGCAGAGCTCTAGCCAATCTGAGCTCAGCACTGAAATCGGACCAATCCCTACCCTGGAAAAACTTCCCCAACCCCAGGAACCCCTATATAAACCCTGTGTATGTTCAGCTTGGCTGGTCCAGCTGTCTTCCAATAAACACCTTTGGATGAGCTTCGGGTGAAGATCTTCTTTTGCGGCGGCGACAGAGCAGAGGCGACCCTGGGCAGAGCAGAGCAGAGCAGAGCGAGTAGCGCTGTAACACTTGCCCGGGAAACCTTCCTTGGCAGAGCGGAGTTGTTACACTCTGCTCCCGCCCGGCTCCCTGCTCTCTGCTCTCTGCTCTCCAGGAGCAGAGCTGAACTGTAGCAACTTCGCCCGAGAAACCTCCTGCGGAGCAAAACTGCTACACTAGGCGAACATCCCCAGCTGGAAGACCCTGTCCTGCTGGAGCGGAGCTGATACACCGGAGAAGCCTTTCTCTGAGGCAAGGCTGTAAGCTGCCAAGCTTACTGCAACCTGTGGTGGTCCTTGGCTCCCGAGCTCCAGGATACCTTTCTACCTGAGCTGTGTAACACTCAGTATCCTTGGCTCCCGAGCTCCAGGATACCTTTCCACCTGAGCTGTGTAACACTGGGTATTCTGTGACTCCCGAGTGCCAGAATACCTGACCCACTCCTGTTCCATCCTGTCCTGACCCATCCCGACAAAACGCTTACAGCAGGAAGTAAAGGAACCCCAGGGTTCCTGTTGACACAGACATGGTCCTGGCAATGATCAAACTTCCCTCACTTCAGTCTCCCTGGAAGGGCCGTCTCCAGGGGCTTCGCTACAGAGTGGACACTTGCAACCACTAACCGAAAGAGACCCCCAAAGAAGAAAGGGCTCAGAGGGAATGGGAGGGGATAGTGGGAGGCTACATGGGGTGCTTTGAAAGGAAAAGGGGAGTGGCGCTAATAGGAGGTGTGGCCTTGTTGGAGTAGGTGTGGTCTTGTTGGAGGAAGTGTGCCACTGTGGAGGCGGGCTTTGGGGTCTTATATGCGCTCAAGCCATGCCCAGAGAGACAGTCTACTTCCTGTGACCGGTATATCAACATATAGCAGCTCCTTCTCCAGCATCATGTCTGTATGCATGCCACCATGCCCGCCATGATGATCAATAATGGACTGACCCTCTGAAATGTAAGCAAGCCACTGTAGTTAAATGCTTTCTTCTGTAAGAGTTGCCATGGCCATGGTGTCTCTTCACAGCAATAGAAACCCTAAGACAGTAAACAAAATACACATGTGTTTAAGAATTGAAATTTGTAAAAAGAAAGACTGTGTCTAAGCCCAGTACCTCTGGGCTAAACAGACCCTGCCTCACACCCTGCTCTCCTGACCTCTCTGCAGCTCCCACCAACTCCGTGTGCACAGTCATTCAGCTCTCCTTTTCTGTGTCTCACAGCTACGCTTTCTATGCCGCAGACCCGCACTCCCCTGAATAGTCTCCATTCAGCTCTCTCCTGCATGTGTGCCTAGTAAAATAAATGCCCCTTCTATTCTAGGAACTGATGGGGAAGTCCCTAGTTGTCATAGAAGGCAGCTGACACCACCAACGCCACCAACACTGAACTCGGGAGAGACTTGCTAAAATGCAAATAGCCAGGCGTGACACTGACCAGAGTCTCCACGGGAGGACTGAATCTGTCATTATGGCAAGCTATCCAGGTGATTTAGACCAAGAATCTGCCTTCCAAGCTTTGTGGACTGACAATGTCCAGCAAGAGTCAGACTTTAAAAAATTCCATGCATAATTTAACAGCACCCTGTGTGGCCCAGAGGTACTCCCTGGCTGAAATCTATAAACTCAGTTGCCATAGGTAAATCACTTCCCCTTTCTACACCAACCCCATCCCTCTCTGTCTCTCTTGTAAAAAGAAAAGCCACACTGGATATTGGAACATGTAGTTGAAGGAGACTGAGGCAGGAAAATGACTTGACCTCCGGAATTCAAAGTCAGTCTGAACCTGTCTCAAAACACTATGAACTTGTCTCAAAAATTCTGTCAGGAGCAGGCAGTGGTGGTACACTCCTTTAATCCCAGCACTTGGAAGGCAGAGACAGGCGGATCTCTGTGAGTTTGAGGCCAGCCTGGTCTACAAAGCTACACGGAGAAACCCTGTCTCGAAAAACAAAATGAAATAAAACAAACGAACAAACAAAATCCAGCCAGTCAAAAAACAAACTAAGAAGGAAGAATCAAGGCTTTGGGGTCTTCAAGGCCATCCTGCTCTTCAATGCTTGGGGTCCTACCATCATGGCAGAAAAAGGAAATGAGAGGCCTTAGGGCATGAACCCAGACATCCCACTACTACCTGTGTGGACAGCCAGCACTTGCTGTTGACACGCAAAAGGCACAGAGATCTTGGGTTGGGCGGAGGCCAACATCAGCATCTAAGAGTGACTAATGCACTCTGAGGAGCAACCCCAGCCTCTGCATCACCAAAGCCAGTCAGGGCAGGTCTGGGCACAAGGTGGGATCTGAATGTAAGGGGACTGGCCCAGATCTAGGCTATAAGGACATCAGAGAGCAGGTGAGAACACTCACCCAGGCTTTGGGAAGCAAGAGCAGCTCAGGGAAAGTCCTACCGGAGTGTCTACACTGCACAGCCCCTAGATGGTGGTAGCCATGGAATAGAGTGCACATGAACTGTCCTCTCCAGAGCTGTGCCTATCCAGCAACAAACTGGGACTGGGCACCCAGGACTGTGCACGCCAGGCATCCTGGGCCTTGGCCAAAGGCAGGGACAGGAAGAATGTGTTCTGGCCCATTTCTACCTTTGGTTAGTTAGGGCACAGACAGCAGCTGCTGGGAAGGATGGTCTCCAACCCTGGTGGGAACTAGAGGCCTGAGCTCAGCCCCAGGCTGGTCATCACGAGACTGACATAGGGGTGGAGCCATAACAGGCTCAACAGGAACTTTCCTTAGATCTATAATCTGCTATAGTAATTACAGGTGGCCCCACTCTGCCCTCTGGGTTCAGGTTGCCCATCCCATCCTCATTTACTCAAGAGTGGTGCTAACCAGGGAGTAGGGCAGAATGGTTCTAAGACCATTGGAAGCTCTAGCCAGCCGGGCCCGGGAGATCGGTATAGCTTCACTTGAAGAGGCTGTGGCATAGATTACATGTTGCAAAAACAATGATTTGTTGCTTTGCAGCATATCATATGCTCTTCCCAGCAAACCCCCTTAACCCTGGGAGTTAATGTCACCACTTCCAGGCCAGCGGTGGCACACTCCGAAGGCAGAGGCAGGGGATCTCTGTGAGTTCAAGGTTGGCCTGGTCTACAGAGCAAGTTCCAGAACAGGCTCCAAGTCTATGAAGAAACCCTGTCTCAAAACAACAACAACAACAAAGTCATTACTTCCTATTATACCCAAGGAAAGACCCAAGGAGCTGACACAAAGATACGCCTCTGCTTGGTACGGTGTCCATGAGAGTGCTGACCACTGGATCTTTGTTGTCTACCATCAAAACACAAGGTAGAGGACTGTCAAGGTGTTTCAATCAGTGGGTAAAGATGCTTGCACCAATGCTGATGAATTAAGTTCAGTCTCCAGAACACACACGGTGGGAAGGCAACTAACTCCCAAAAACTACCCTCTGACCTGTTGCAAGCTATTTGATTACATTGTGTAAAGACGTGTCACTGGGATTGGTTTAATAAAAAGCTAGATGGCCAATAGCTAGACAGGAGGTGTAGGCAGGACTTCTGGACAGAGAGAGCCCTGGGAAGAAAGGGGGAATTAGCAGCCAGAGGAAGCAGGACATGCAAGAGGAGAGGTAAATCTATGAGCCACGTGACAGTGCATAGGTTAATAGAAATTTATAATATTAATTAATAGAAATTATTTAAGTTATAAGAGCTAGTCAGGAAAAAGCTTTCATAATTAATAAGTCTCCATGTCATTATTTGTGAGCTGGCGGCCAACCCAGCTACTCTGACCTTCACAAACACCATGACACATACTCAATAAATAATTGAAAAAATTTAAATAAGAAAGAGAGAGGTCAAGAAAGATACCTAACATCGACCTCTGTCCTCCATATGTGCACCACACTCACAGGTGTACACACACACACACACACACACACACACACACACACACACACACACAAGTCAAAAGGAGACCAAATGCTAGCCTAGAGGCGCTATGAGCACCTGGTCAGATACTGAAGGACTCCTTCATGACACGGCCACTCAGAAGCTTTCAAATTCTCTTTATTAAAAACCATGTTTCCTTTTGTAAAAACAAACACTTTAGGTCAGTTATACAGATCAGAAACAATGATGACAATTTATATAAGACACTCAAAAAATTCTAATATTTTATGAGTTCAAACTCAAAGTAACTAGTAGTTCTGTTTTTTCTCGAAAACTCACAAAACAATCTCTGGTCCAGTTCAAGTATAATCTTACAGATCACCGCCTCGGACTGTCCAAGAATGGGAACCCTGAACACTAATGGCTGCTGCTCATATCAACAAGTCTTCCCCGGCCCCTGGGAGTGCAACCTGGATACCACCAGGTGCTCACAGCAAGCACAGGAGAACAGGCCTTCCATACATCCACTCAGGGTGCAAAGGAAACTTCTGTGCAAGGTAGCAGCTGTTCATGAGTGACCTTGGGGAGAGACATTTTGAAATGATTGGCGAAACACTGAGTAGAAGTTTTAAAAAAGAAATCAATATTTCCCTGGTTGTCTTTGACACCGCATTGCATGTAACACACATAGAAATTGAAAAGTACAAGGACCATGCCAATGGAGTTTTATAAAAATAAATACATATGCATATATAAACACACAAATATAGAATCACCCATGACTTTAAACTGAAGGTTGTGACTGAAAGTAGAGACTGACTTTGTGTCCTCCCTCTGGAGGACTTTCCCCAGAATGTTCATAGGAAGCTTAATTTAAATCGAGGGAGCCATCTTAGTGCTCAGAACCAGGCCATGTGGATTTCCATAGAAATGCTGCTAGCATAGGGGCCAGTGGTGTTGGCGAGGTCTGTCTCACTCTGCTGGAAGATAAAGTGTCCAGCCTCTGATAATGTACAGGTATAGCCTCTGATGGAGTTGGTAATGGATTTAGGGATGTGGGCTACAGCTGTTCCCAGAAGTCAAAAGTTTTCTGAGAAACGGAAGAGACTTTGCTGATGGCCACAGTGTGTTGACCACGGTGTGCTGACCACAGTGTGATGGCCACGGTGTGCTGACCACAGAGTGTTGACCACGGTGTGCTGACCACAATGTGATGGCCACAGTGTGCTGACCACAATGCTGGGTTACTGCCTGTGGAGTCCACCAGGGGAATGGTGGAGACTGAGACACACTATTTAGTCTTACTCTTTGAGTACCACCTTCCTAAAGCCCCAACTTCCCACGCTCCTTTCCAGACTGGCCTGTCTCCCTCTTATCTTTGCCTTAATTTCTCTTTCATAGGTTCCAAAAGTTCTCTCCTAGCCAGGAATCATAGGCCTCAAGGTTTACACATGGCCATTTTAGGATCTGCATTCATTTCCTTTCTGTGCCTCAGTTTCCTCACTGATAAAATGTTGGTGTTGAACTAGATCATTTGTCCATTCCTCTTTGATTTGTGCAGAGTACAGAATGGCAATATAAGGCGGGGTGGGGGGGCAAGACATGACTCCTGCCCGGTCTACTTGCCTTGACCTAGGAACATGAACAGGCAACTTACACAGGCAAACCACGCACATGGAGGGTGCCTTCAGGGAGGTGTGTCTACTTGTAGAGATGGCACCAGGCTTTCTCTGAAACTTGGGTCCAATCTACAGCTCAAGTGAAGCTAATGTCTTCTAGTACCCTTGTCCCAAGACCATCCACTAAGACCCTTCAGCACACATGAGATGGGGGTGCGGATCCCATTGAGAATCAGGGATTTCTTCTTCCTAGCATTTTAGCATCGAGATCAGCATAAGCTGTCCCTCCATTCCCACCTAAAAGTCCCCAGAAAATCACATGTTTTGGTTTCTCCCCACAGTAGAGGCACCAAGGGTGAATCAAGGTCAGATGCCAGTTCCTTGATCCTGACTCAGCCCAATTCATTGCAGAGGTCAGCATGCCCCCTGGGCCCACACCAATTCCTCCTTTAGCTGTTGGGTGAAGATGTGGCTGACCTCAAATCTAGTCAATCTATACCAACATCACTGTCCTGACTAAAACAAATCCAGACCCACCCTTAAATCAAGAAGAGTTTTGGATTGGATCTATTGGAGCTTCTACAATGTCGAATTCTTGGCTCCAGAGAATTAACATGATTTCACTTTAAGGCATTAGCCTGGTGGTTTTCTAGAATAACTGAGGTTGAATGACTTTCTGAAAAAATAGGGGTGTTAGGGCTGTGCTTGTAGCTCAGTTGGTAGAGTGTTTGCCTCTTTGCTGGAAGCCTCAGCACCACGATGCCTATAATCACAGCACTCAAGAGGTAGAGGCTGGAGGACCAGGAGTTCAAGACCACCCAACAAGGCAATCCCTAGACTACATGAGAGTCAGCCTCAAAACAAAACCCTCGGCTTTTGGGCTAGGCATACAGCTCAGTGGTAGAGCACTTGTTTATGATAAACAGTGTCCTGGGCTCAGTTCCCAGCACTAGCCAAACACTGAGAAAGAGAAGCAGGCTTCTCAAAACGGTAGGGTCTGCTGGAGGGCTTCGTAATGAATGCTTCTACCTCTGCCAACTGGTTCACGGGTGACCTCTCTCAAGCCTGTGGAACCTGACTCAGCTCCCTTGGGACACACAGAAGCCAGATTGCAAGACCACCTCAGGTTCACTGAAGTGGCTCTAAATTCAGGGCTTCTGTCAAACACTTTCCTTGTGTGACCCAGCCTCGCTTGACTGACCTACCATAACCAATCAAAACTGTGAACACAGTGACAATCCCTGAGACGTTGGGCTTTATGAGAAGGAAATGAACTTTGGCACAGAAGAGATGAGAGGAAGAAAGGAAAGCAAAGCTAAAAGAAACAGCCCACAGGAAGCTGGTCGCCCTTGGTGGGCTGGACTCAGGAGTTGGCTCCTGGAGACACCAGGGTGTTTTGCTTGTCTCCGGGAACAAGCCAAAGCACCATGTCCTGCCTGGCTCTCCTCTGGTCTCACTTCTGTCCCCGAGGACTGACTGGCCCGAGTTCAGCAGGCTTCCCATCCACCTCCAGAGACAGTGGCCGTGGCAGCAGCAGAGTCAGAGTTTCCTCCTCTCCAAGTGTGGCGCGATCCCGCTGCCCTCAGGACTCGGACTGCTTGCCCCCTCCGTTTCCTTCAGGCCTTCCTCCGCCAGCTGGGACAAGTACTTCTGTGGAGGAGAGAGGGACAATATAGGCAAAAAAGATGTCAGTGGTGGCGGTGTGTGTGTGGGGGGGGGGAGGGAGGGAGGGAGGGAGGGAAGGAGGGAAGGAGGGAGGGAGAGACAGAGACAGACAGAGACAGACAGACAGAGACAGAGAGACAGAGACCCCTTTTCTAACACTGGAAAATGGGGGTCATGTCTCCTATCTCTTGTGCATCTTAGGGCAGCAGGACCCCACTATAGTTACGAACAATGTAAGCATCCTGTGGGGAAACTAGAAGGACGGACACTGGCCACAGCGATTGTCCCCCTCCCCTTCTTTGTTGCCAAGCACTTGCTAACTGCCCAGCTCAGCCTAACTCGACCCTCGTGACAACATTGCCTATTTTCCAGAGACAGTGGCAGAAAGAGGGATGGTGGGGGGGTGGCGGAAGTCCAGGACTGGCCCATGATTGACATCAGAGGTTCCCAATCATCCTGTGGGACAGGATATGGGAGAGGGCCTAGAGCCCCCTTAGTGGACTGAAGACAGCATGCCCTCTCTCCAGTGGGGGGGGCTGAAGGTGACAGCATGCCCTTCCTCCAGTGTTGGGGGACTGAAGGTGACAGCATGCCCTCTCTCCAGTGTTGGGGGACTGAAGGTGACAGCATGCCCTCTCTCCAGTGGGGGGACTGAAGGTGACAGCATGCCCTCCCTCCAGTGTTGGGGGACTGAAGGTGACAGCATGCCCTCTCTCCAGTGGGGGGGGGCTGAAGGTGACAGCATGCCCTCCCTCCAGTGTTGGGGGACTGAAGGTGACAGCATGCCCTCTCTCCAGTGTTGGGGGACTGAAGGTGACAGCATGCCCTCTCTCCAGTGGGGGGACTGAAGGTGACAGCATGCCCTCTCTCCAGTGTTGGGGGACTGAAGGTGACAGCATGCCCTCTCTCCAGTGGGGGGGGCTGAAGGTGACAGCATGCCCTCCCTCCAGTGTTGGGGGACTGAAGGTGACAGCATGCCCTCTCTCCAGTGTTGGGGGACTGAAGGTGACAGCATGCCCTCCCTCCAGTGGGGGGGGACTGAAGATGACGGCATGCTCTCAGAGTTGTGACTGGCATGGCCAATAAGCCAGCTGGGGCAGGTCTGTGTTGGGGCTCCCTGGGATCAGTGCTGTGAGAGCAGATGAGGGAGCCCCAAGAACAACGTAAACAGCTCTCGACCGGTCGTTTATAAAGGGCCAGGTGCAGTTCAGTGGTCAAGTGTGCAGTCTCAGCTCATCCATGTCCTGGGTTCAAACCCACCGTCTCCACAGGCAGGAGACTGAATGTCCTAACATCTGTGACGTGAGGATGACCGTGGCAAGCTCACAGGCAGCTGGGGGAGTGGGGCAGTGTTTGCCACACGTGGGAAACTGACAAATGCCTCACAAAGCTCCCGGCATCGTGCCTGGCACTCGGTCAGTACTCAGGAAGGCCAGCCTTCCTCGTGAGCTGAACCTGCTGTGAAACTTCAGCTTTTGGAGGCGGGTGCTGCCTGACTTGGAGATGAACCCCTAGCAGATGCCTGTGGGGGAGGCTGCTGCTGGAGAGCCCCGTCCTCTCCTCTGCCAGGTTCAAGAACACTGAGTGGATAAGCACCCTGCGTGTGTGTGTGTGTGTGTGTGTGTGTGTGTGTGTGTGTGTGTGTGTGTGTGTGTGTGTGTTCTTCCTTGGGGCTTACGACCACCTTTGGGCCCAGTAAGGCCTATGCTTGCTGTGCCTGATCACTCCCCGTGGGTTCACATAGAGCCGTGACCAGCAAGCAAAGGCAGAGCAGGGTTTCTGGAAACTGTACTGAGGCGCCTTCAGCCTGTTCCTGCCTCCCTCCCGGGGCAACCCTGACTCCCCTCCCCCACTCAAGGCCTCCTGATGCAGCTAGCTCACTGATGCCGACTTGAGTTAGCCAGCACCTGCTGAGTGGGTCTCTCTTCTTCACTCTTCACAGGTGGAGAAGCTGTAGAGACAGCGGCGTTCTGCCTGCCAAGGCCCCTGACAGAGCCCTATCTGAGTTGGCTGTGACAGAGACTCCTGGCTCCCTGACAGGTACACCAGGGAAACTTGAACTGAGGTTGGACAGTGTGAGGAGATGGGGCAATGTCTATGCCCAGTGTATCTAGGGACCACAGGGGTGGTGTTGGCCTCTGTGGGGATGGGAGGGAGCCTGGAGTTAGACCCTAGAGGCCTTGGACACCGTGCAGGCCACGGCCCTGGAAAAAAAGGCAGCCTCTGGATTCTTCCTAACTCTCTTAGTGATAATGAGCTTGAACTCCGGGGTTTCCTTGGGGGCTATAGAATTCCACTAAGGGAAGACCAAAGTACCCACACTAGGAATTAGACATTCCCAGAAAGACTGTTAAAATGAGGACTCTTGCCTTGGTATGTAGCTCAGTGGTATTTGTCTGGTATGTTCAGAGCCCTGGGTTTAATCTTTAGCACAATACAATTTTGGAAATGAATTCCTGTGTCTACACTTGAAAGACAAGGGGCAAACAGGGGGCCAGTAAGCTCAATGAGATCCATTTTTAAAAGATGTCTGCTAACTCAATGGAAAATCAGTACCAGGCTACCCCCAGGACCCTTCCAGCCTGCAAATGGTCTAAGAAGAATGATGAAGTCTTTGGGTTGGATGACTGTCCCCAAGTACCTCTGCAGAGCCCAGTCTCAAGTCCCTGCTCTGGTCAAACCAGGCCACCCTTCCCTTTCCTCCCCAGGGAGACAGGACATGTGTCTGCCATAAACGGCAGCTCCCTAGGGGGAAATCAGGAGGCTTACATGACTTGTTTGGGCACAGACAGAGACAGTCCCTTACATGTTGAAGCCAGGTTGGGACACCACAGGTCATAGTTTTGAAGATTAACTTTAGTGGTGCTGCAAGGTCCCCCGCAGCTACTCTGTATAGCCTGGAGCGAATCTTACAGCTCACCTTTGGGCTTCAGTTTCCTCAATGGTAAAGCAAACTCAAGATTCTTAACTAGATGTTCACATTAATCATTTCGAGAATGGTCTTAAATTACATGGTACTGCTGCGCCCCCAAGCCCCATACGTGACTGAGCGCATGTACTCCAAAACTCCAGGCAAATCTAGTTCACATTCCTGCTTAAGGATCACTAGATTAGATCCAGAAAAATGTCTCAGTGGGTAAGGGTGAGGGCCTCCAAAGTTCATCCCTGGAACTTAACGGTGGAAGGAAAGAACCAATCCCTGTAAGTTATGTTCCTACCTTCAGGACTCAAATAAATAAATAGATAAATAGATGTAAAAAATAACACATACAATTTAAAAAAAATCATCAGAATACCTGGCCTAAAATTAGGGCAATAATACCTTAGGCACTTCTTGGATTGAGTCATGTGACTCAAACTCTGGTTATTTATTTTGTGTGTGGTGCCCATGTGTGTATACATTCATGTGTGTGTGTGTGTGTGTGTGTGTGTGTGTATGTGTGTGTATATATATGTATATATATTGTATATGTATATGTTTATACATATGTGTGTATATATATGTGTGAGTGTATGTGTATATATATATGTGTATACATAAATGTTTGTACATATATTTGTACATATGTATGTGTATATGTATGTGTGTATATGTGTGTATATGCATATATATGAACATACATATGTATGTATGTGTGTGCATATACATGTGTGAGTGTATGTGTGTATGCATATATGTATATATGTGTGTGTACATATGTGTGTATGCATGTATATATGTGTATATGTGTGTATGTGTGTATATATGTGTATATATGTATATGTGTGTATATATGTGAATGTATATATGTGTATGTATGTATGCATGTGTGTGCATGTATGTATATATTATGTATGTATGCATATGTGTGTGTGCATGTATGAGTGTGTATATATATGTGTGTGTATGGAAGCCAGAGGTTGACATTAGGTCTCTTCCTCTGTTATTCTCCACCTTATGTTTTGAGGCATCTGTCAATGAGCCTGGAGCTCACTGCTTTGACTAGACTACCTAGCTGGTGAGTTCCAGAGACCTCCGTCTCTGCTCCCCAGTGCTGGGATTACAGGCATGCACCACCTTGCCCAGCTTTTTGTGAGTGCCAAGGATCCAAACGCAGGTCCTCGTGCACACCTGGCAAGCACCTTCCTGCCCGATCCGTCTCCCTCCTCTAAGGGCTGGTTCCGGCAGTGAACACACAGTTGCCTTGACGTGCTCAGTCTCCATCCTCACCCCAGCAAATGAAACCCATGGACAACACAGCCTGTGCCAGGACTTAATCAGGAAAACTGCATTCAAATTAGCAGACACACTGCCTCAGCTCCTTACACTGCTGTAAGGAGTTTCCCTGGTGTGCCTGCCAGGGAACCAGGAGCCTTGGGCATGGTCATCTCAGATGGGGTTTCTGTTGGGGGCCTTGGCATAATGCAAATATTAGCATACTCGTTGCCTTCACGATACTTTAGAAAACCAATTAATGTCTCTGGGATGGAAATATACACATATATACACACAAACTGAGTCGCCTGCTCAGTTTGAGGCACTGCTCTTCCTAACTGGTGTGAACTTGTCTATCAGGCTGAGGATGTGATCAGTGTATCTAAGGGCCCAGTCCCCAGTATGACAAAGGACAAACCCGGAAAACTCGTATTTTCTGATGAAGGTATCTCAGAGCATGAACTATGGAGTTCAGTGCATTTTATAAGTGATGTTTGGATATAGTGCATTGCCTAGTTATCTCCTTTACCACTGGTCTCCTACATGCAACTGGAGCCTACTAGGGATTTCCCTGCATTTGTTGCTGTTGTAGACACAGTGCCCAGAACAGTTCTGCAGGTATGTGCTGTCTGCGACACTCCTTTATTTGTTGTGCTACCTGAACATTTAAATGGGTAAAACCGTGATTCTCATTCCAGAAAACAAAAACAAAAACAAACAAACAAAACGGTTATCCGCATGGAGGAAGACAAAAGGAAATACCCGCAGCTGACGTACCCAGGCCTGCCTGAGAAGGCTAGATGTACACAGGTCAGGAGAAGACCGGCAGAGCTTGGGCTGTGCTCCACCTAGCTGGGGGTGGCAGGTGTTTAAAAGGCCACCAGGGTGCTCTAAGTATTAAAGCAGAGCTGATGCTCCCAGAGCCCTTAGGATGATGAAGCCAGTCTGCCGGACAGTTCGGCCGAGCGAGCCATTCTCTGCGTGGTGGGAGGAGGCGTCAGTTTACAGAAGCCTGTCTTAGAGGAACGCCTGGGGGAATAGCGAGTCTATACAGCCTTGGGGATGGATGTTCACAGCAGAGGCAAGTGAGGCCCCCCAGACTCCTGGGTGCTGGCATGTGAGCGGAGTGCATGGGAGAGCCCACAGGGCGCGCAGCGAGGAGGTGGCGCAGCGAGGAGGGGGCGCGGTTACCTGTAAGTTTCTGTAGTGGACCGTGCTGCGACAGTGGCTCACTTTGGCTGCCTCCTCGCTCGTGTAGAACAGGCCACACAGCTTGCAGTAAAAGCCAGTCCTGGGAACCACGAACTCCACTCCTGGGGGACGGTGCGGGGGTGGGGGGAACAGAGCGTTAGGAAAGTGGGGGGTCCACGGTCCTCTCCTCGTTTGCTGTTGGCTTTGGTGGTTATCAACTCCTCCAGCTTTACCTGGGCTGCCCACAGTTACAATGCAGCCACACAGAGAGTGCTCACTCCATCCACGGGGGCTGTGAATGCCAGGGGCGAGCCACAAGCAGGGCACACAGCGGTGACTGCTCGGTGTCCGCCTTTCATGTCTGAACCTGCATCTGAGGACAAGGGAGGAAGGGCCTCTCTAGTTTTCTAAGGATTTCATCTCTGCTTGGTTCCCCCCCCTGCATCTGGGAGCAAGAGTATAGAAAAATTCTCTTTCAGACCATTTTTATTAAGGAAAAGTAAAACTAAATAGAAGAGGGAAATTCACCCACTCACTGGAATGCAAACATATTTTTAACATATTTTTTTCCCATGTGATTTGCTGTAGACCAGGCTGGCCTCAGACTCGCAGAGACCCATCTGTCTTGGCCTCCTGCGCGATGGGAGCTAAGCCTAGGAACTCAGGTCCCACACGCTGGACCGGAGTTTTCCCCGTGCGAGCAGAACACAGCAGCTGAGGCAGGGGTGCTGCTCCTGTTTCCTCTAGTGGGACAATCTGGGAGACAGAATTGAAAGGAGGGAGGGAGTATGGCAGCGTTCACAGGGATGAGGACGGGGCAGCTGTTCCTGGGGCCCTGAGCCTCCTACAGCCCCGCGGCCCCCTTCCTTCACTGCGTGCTGAGCACAGGAGATCCTAAACTTGTAAACAGGACTTTCCTTTACATCTCAATAACAGTAACCAATAACAATAATAATATAATAACGACGACGACAAATGGAAATAACTCATGGAAAGTGGTGACTCTGAGAGAGGACAGGAGAGGCGAGGAAGCCCGGAACGGCTCGCAGTCTGCCAGCCCAAAGCTCCACACTGCATCTTGAAACCTGGGCTGTCTCTCTGCTGTGCAGGCTCTCTGCCCGATGCCTGATGTCTGCAAAGCACTCAGCATTCAGCCACAAGCCCGGAAGTGAGAGGGTGTCACTCAGTCCAGCTGTCCCAAGGGGCTGAATGTCCTTCTCCTTCAGCCTCTGCCCTTACCCTCCGGGCAGAGAATGAACACATGGCTCCACTTGGGGGTGGGGTGGGGGTTGGGAGAGGCTCTGATGGGAGATCGAGCTGACAGGAATAGGTGTCAAGCAAGGCCTACCGCCTCTTTCTTCTGTTATTGCAAAATAGTTGTGTGCTGGCTGCTGCTCCCCACGGGTCTCAGAGACACAATGCAAGAGAAAAGCTACTAGGAGAGAACTCTGGCCAGAGCCCTGACTCTGTCCTGTCCCTCATCTGACAGGCAGCAGGGTGCAGCTGGGCTGTACCAGGAACTTAGCCCAGGGGATTCCAGTGTAAACCAGGCCACGGCGACCCATCGTCTCTACCCTGGGGTCCCCAGGAGGAGGGGAACCACCTCAGGGGAGTCCAGTGAAACTGAGGCAGGAGCCAAATTGTGCAGCATGGCTCCTTTCGACCAGAGGGTTGCAGCTACCATCTGTGGGGTTGTGAGCGAGACGTCACTTGAGCAAAGTCCCCCACCATACCAGAAAAGGCAAAACCAAAGGGCGTGGAAGCAACAGCAACGGCGGAGGAGACAGGCCTTGCGCTCCCGTTTAAGCTGTGGCCTCAGAGGCACTGTTGGACTTCTCTGGAACGAGTTTTGTCGTCTGTAAACTAGGACGGATAATGCCACACACGGTGTTGTGAGGAAGCACCCGTCACTTTGCGTGGCGCTCAGGAAAACACTAGATGAGGAACATAGAAGCCAAGCATCCAAGCACTGGGCCTCACCCGCTTTCCGGCCTTTCCCAAGGCTGCCGGAGAACCACTTCCATGACTTGGCAGCAGCTTTCTTCCCAGGCCCTGCCCAGTGGGTTGGGTCAACATCAGTAATCAAAAGACAGCACTCGGGAAAGATGAGTGAGGCAGGAGGATCTTCAAACAACAGCACCACCCAGGAGCTGCGAGGGCACCGCAGCGCCCGGCCACCACTCCCCGAGGAAGCCCAAATGCAGGGAGCAGAGCAGAGCAGCGTCGAGAAACGCTGCCATAACGGGGTCAGGAGTCACTGAGCGCTCCATTTCTTCAGGGTTTATTAAGTACCGTCATTAAAGCCGCATCTGCCTCCTAATAATAGCTCCTGGCACGGATAATTATGACTCTGTCATCCTAGTAAAGCCCATGTTGGAGAGAGGGGGAAGCTGACTTTTTGCCAGCGATGCTATTTGGTTGTCGTACGAGCAGGCCTTGGCAGGCTCACACTGGCTAGAGTCGCAAAGTGCTGGCCCGAATCACAAGCGCCCTTCTGCAGTCATGAGCACCCCAGTTCCTGACAACAAGACTGACTTCCATTCTCCCAGCGGGGTGCCCTGTCCTTGGCATCCTGCATGTCACCTCTGTGCTCTCTACAGGGACTGGAATGTTGTCTCTCGTATTTCTAGAAACCTTTCGGTAGTAGTGACCAATCCTGGAGTGTAAGGGGCTTGCAGCCCCACCGAGAAGCACAGTGGGCCTCAGTGAGTTCTGAACCACCCAACAAGCCCTTCCTAAATCCTTGCTGCTGGAAGACACTAGGACCCCACAATCATTTTCTCCTCAAAAAAAAAAAAAAGTCTACACAGAGGCTTTTAACTAGGTTCATAGAGACAAAGAACTCAAAGCAAAGAGGTTAAATAAGTTACTGCTTGCCAGCCAGCCATCAAGTGGCAGAGGTGGGATTTGAACCCAGGAATAAGAGGCCGCAGTCTGTGCCCTTACTGAAGGGCAGATGGCAGCGTGGCCAGGGGACAGACATCCCACGTCCCTGAACTTGATGTGCGATCTTGGGAAAGTCAAACACAGAACACGGTAGCATCCCTTCCTGGAGGGTGAGAGGGTACAGAGACCAGTGAGCTGTTGGCATTCCAGGCTCATAACAATAATCTGCAATCCAAGCTGGAAACAACTTCAGCGCTCACCGCCAGGTAGACAGAGAGTGTGATATGCCCTGATCCACAAAACAGCACAGGTGCCTATGAATATCAAAACAGATAAACCACACGCTTTGCATATGTGTCCTTTGTCGTATGCCAATTACACTCTAATATAGCCCTTTATAAAAACAAAATCAGATGCCATTTCTCTCCTAACAGGTTGGCAAAGATTAAAAACTGATAACTGGGTTTGGCAAAGACGTGGGGAACAGGAATTCACCCCGGAGGTGGCACTGAAAGCTGTTATCCTCTTTTCGGAGTGCAATTTAGTAGTAATTATAACCTTTTCAATGCAAATATATATGGCCCCACAGTGCGCCCATGCTGGGCTAGCAGCCCGTCTCACAGAAATGCTGGCATGTGCGCAAGGGGAACCAAACCAGCACATATGGGCAGCAGTCGAAGACTGAGGCTAAGCACACACTAGTAGAATTTGAATCCGAACAAACACCAGCCCTTCTGCTCGGGAGCCTCGTGACTGCGGCTTAGATTTCCTATCTGTAAAGCCGGGGTTTAAAATACCACTTGTTTCTTCCATGTTTGGAGAGTGCTCAATAATGCATACAAAGCACTAAGAAAACTGAGGGGTGATGGAGGACAATTCGTAAAAGCTTAGCTGTTACCACGTGTTCACAACGGAAAGACAACAAACAGGAAACTACCAGTAAAGGATCCGCAGCTAATCGTGCAGATTTTAGGAAGGAGTGTTTGCAGTGGTTCTGAGGCTCTCTGTGTCTACTCGACTAGATCCCTAAGACCTGCTGCTACAGAGCGTGGAGCATATGGGAGAAAAATCATGGTGAACACGGCGACAAAATCCACCTCTGGGGCTGGGGAGGGACAGCTAAGACCACTAGAGTTGACTTTAAATGGTCTTTGCAGTTTAGGTTTGTTATAATAAGGGTTCACGCTGTCTATAGTGAAAAGACATGCATGAGGAAGCAGGGTTCGCTCTTAATTTTTGCTGTGTCACTTGATTCCAAGTTTCCGCTTGAGAGTTGTTATGCTCTCAGTTCCCTCGGGGTGCAGGGCACAGCACCACGTGACCCGGTGAGTGTTTGCCGGATGGATGAATCCATGGAGGAGCCGAAGCTTCTGAAAGGCAGGTTCTGCAACATCAGTGTCCGGAGCTAACGCGCCTCAGAGCATCGGGATTCATTCAAGGTCTGCCTTTCATTTTTGAAATGTTTGTGTTAGGAGGGCCAGGGAGATAAATCATTGCTAAGAGTGTTTGCCCACAAGCATGAGGACCTGAGTTCTAGACCCAGGCATTCATGTAAAAATCCTGAAACCTCAGCCATGGGATACAGAGACAGACAGGTCCCAGGCCTCGGCTTGCCACAGCCCGACACGGTGAGGTGAGCTCCCTGTCTCCTGAAACCTCAGCCATGGGGGACAGAGACAGGCAGGTCCCAGGCCTCGGCTTGCCACAGCCTGACACAGTGAGGTGAGCTCCCTGTCTCAAGGGAATAATATGGGGAAAGCTACAAGAGGATGTATCTGATATCTCCCTCTGTACTCCATATCACATGCATAGGTATATGTGTACACACAAGCACACTTTACATATGCAAATTTTGTTATGAGAGAGACTGTGCTGCAAGTTTTTTTTAGAACGAGATTTGTCATTTTTCAAATCTATTTCTATAAAAATGACTTATTAGAGTGAAGAACCAGAAGAAAAGTAACAGAAACATGGATGGAATGGTCAAGCCTGCACATTAGTGTGCCTTCCCTAGGACATCCTTGTGACGCCTTTCTTAGGAGACACTTCCCAAAACATCCCCTCTGAAAGCTGTTCCTCCCGTATTCCTTTACTTCCCCATCTTTTAGAGCCAATGCAAACATCACAGACCTCAGTCCGGGAGATTCTCACTAGTGTGCCCCACCGCCATACCCCCTGGTGAACACCACCGCCATACTTTTACAATCAAAAACCCACCTACAGGTCCAACCCCCTGCTACTGATGAGGAAACTAAGGCTCAGGGATACAAGACTTGTCTGAAGACCCAAGGACACCCACCAATTGATTGACAAGGGCCTCAGTTTCTGTGCCATGTAACTCTGACAACGTCAGTGAACTCAGTGGCCTCAGAGAAGCAGGTTTTTGAGGAGAAATGTCACATAGCATTATTATGGGACAAGGACACACAGAAAGATGGCAGCAAAGGGGGGTCATTTTAGTTGACACTTGGGAGGTAGCTGGGCTTCTGTTTCCTGCCTAAACACAGTCTGGGCTTCCCTGATGGGGACACAGGCCTTTCTTGGCCGAGTCTTACTGTTGTGCTATTCACGGTTCAGTCACGTGGTCTACCTCAGGAGCCTGCGAGTGTAAGAAACTTTACCACTGTGCAGACCTGGGTTATTGCATCATACCTTAAAAACAATCACAATAGGATGGCAAAAGCCCTCTGGAGCTTCTCCAAGTCACTATAGAACTGTCATTTCCTGGAGTTGAAATTCAGGAAGGACTGTGAGTTTCACCTACCTAGAGGAATGCTAAGCTCACTGAACACATCCTCCGGCTCCCAGGATGGCAAAGAGAGGGGCTCTTTCAGCTCCGCTCCGGTGAATTCTGGTGATCTCACACCCAGAGGTTTCATTTCCATGTACCTGGAGTTTTCTGCAAAACATGAGCCCATGGAGTGGGGGATGGGGACAAACCACACACACACACACACACACACACACACACACACACACACACACACGCGCGCGCGCACACACACATGCACACACACACGCACACACACACACACACAGAGGGGGGAGGGGAAGAAGGAGAGGGAGGGAAGAGAGAGGGGGAGAGAGAGGGGGAGGGGGACTAATAAAACACAGCAGGCCTCAAAGAGTCCCTGTAATTCTGCTCCCTGCACTGTGTGATTGGGAATTGTCCCTTGGACTGCTTTAATCACGTGAGGCTGGGGCCGCTAATTAGAACCAAAGTGCTGTAATTAAGAGCCTTTTCCACTGCCAAAAAAAAAGTGCCACACACAATAAAACTTGGCACATCCTTGCACTTGTCACACGGGGACGGACTGGTGATGCCTTCACTTGGATGACCCCCCTCCTCCACTGCCCCCAGTCAGTAGCATTCCATCTCTGCAGGCTGAAGAATCCTTAAAACGCAGAAATTGCTGGCATCCACCAAGACTGGCCAAAAAGGCAACGCCACTCTTACCCCCATGCTTGTAAAGTAGCGCTATTAAATACGAACTCCACGTATTGGGTGAGTTAATAGACCCCTGCGACCAGCACGTGTGGAGACCCGTGCCACAAAATAAAAGGGGCTCAGTCGGTGAGAGGTGAAAATGTCCATGCTTTTTGTGTGTGCCTGCTCTAGACGGGCTGGGCCTCTCTGTTCCTCTAGCAACAAGCAGGCTGATCAAGGCTGTTTCCATGGAGACTCAGATCCCAGCAGGTGAAATACCAGCTCAGGTCAGCTTGACATGGAGGAAAGCCCAAGCTTCTGGCCACCCACAGGCTTGCACTACCCACAAGGCTCTGGGCTGACATGCGTCCTTTTCGGTCTTTCCCTGCACTTTCTGCTTCCTGGGTTTCACTCCAGCCTCGGTAGTGCTGGAAGCTTTCTACAAAAGGGATCTATAGTTATTTTCACTGCAAGAGTCTTGAGGACTACTTGCCCTCCCTCCACACACACAACCCCCCTTCCCCCAGCTCTGGATGGATCTGTTTCCATCTGGCAGAGAAGCAAGGGCTTAGCCCATTTTAGACTCCTCAGCTCATGATGTCACAGCGCTGAGCATAGACACAACATCACCTCCGGAGGAGGCGGGCTTGTTCCTGGGATGAGTCCTGTTTCACTATCTGACCCCGGAGAAAAACAGGCCTGAGGTAATTAGAAGGGAAGCCAAGTCCTTCAGCAAAGCTCCACTTTTTCCCTGTGTCATCTTCTCTTACCTGCCCACCCCCCACACCACCAATAAATTAATAAATAATAAATAATCGGGGCCTCCAATGCTCACGAAAGGACAGCAAGCCGTCAAGAACAACCCAAACTTTTTTTTTTAAATACCAAAAAACTCAACCTGATCTTAGATGCCTGTGCCTATGCGGGGCCCCCATATTAGTGCAGAGAAATCGTGTCTGCCTGAGGTTGCTTCTCAGAACTCAGGGGGCTGCTGTTGGATTTCTTTTACACCATCTGCCTGAGAGCTCTCACAGTCTAACCCAGCCTTCAAGGGCTTGCTTCTGTACATGACGCTCTCCCTCAGCTTTAAAGTTAGTGGGAAGCTCCCATACGTCTGTTCCGGTCTGCACATGCCTACACATCCTGAGGGAAGCAGTGGTCCAGTCCGGTCCGCCCAGCCACCCGTGGAGGAAAGGGAGGTAATTACCCTCGGTGAGTGCACCTTGGCAGGCCTGGCCTTGGAGGTCGCTTTCAGTAGTGGGGCTGGCTTTGTCTTCCAGGGGGCTGACTTCGTGAGCCCCATCTTCAGGGGACCCCCTGGCCTTGGTGTCATCGAGAAAAGGGCTGGACTGCCGGGCCCTCTCATCTGCTGGCTGGAGGGAAGACATTTGCTGGGCTGCAGGGGCCAGACACACATCTGAACCCTCTGCTCCTCTGGCCTCCTTCTCATAGCAATCTGAGACCTCCAGCGAGAGGCCTGTCGCGCATTCAGCTGGCTTCCGCTCAGCGTCCAGATTTAGGCCAGGCATCTCCACGTCCGTGTCATTGGGACAGCTTGTGGAAGTAGACGGCAGTTGTCTGGGCAGCGTGTGGATGATTTCTGCATCCCCGTTCCCGATGGTCTCCCCCTGATGGGTGAAATCTTTGGCCAAGTCCAAACCTAAGGTGGCTGTCGCACAGGGACGTATTTCGGGGAGAGTTTTGTCTTTCTGGACAATGGGCGTAATTTCTTCCAGCTCCGGGATGTCCGGTTCCATGATAAAATCCTCTTCCCCCACTTCGTCCACGGTGACCAGCTCCTCCATGTTTGTGGGGTACCAGCTGTCCCCCTCGGCCTCACTTCCGCTCTCCCAGTCTTGCTCCTGTATGAGGATGTAGAACGGGAGTCAGAGGGTGGCTGATGATATTCACCCAGAAGCTGCACACACCGGCTAGGGGAGCCCTTGGCCAGAGAGACCTGATGGTGTTCTTCTCCTTGGAAGCATTTGCTGGGTACTTAGGTCATGTGAGCCCCTCAACTCTCACTTTATTCATTGACTCTAAGGACATCGTTCAAGTCTGCGCAGGCTTCAGAATCAGCCCTTGATGCTTGACCTGCTGTGTCTAAAGTGACACAGATTCCCTATCCCTGACACACACACAGTAGGTATTTGGTAAATAATTTTGAACGGATAAACTATAAATGCCAAACACTTATCAGAACTGTTTCTGAGTGTGTATGACATCACTAAAGATGACTGAAGAAAAAAAAAAAACATTCACAAACGTCCTCCAGACTCCCTGCCTCTCAGCAGAAATGCAATGCTCACACTCACATTCTCCCTCCTGTACTTTTCCCTTGGAGTTCCCAGCAGCTTACGACTTGGTACACAGATTCAGGAGGGTAGTTTCCCCTGACCGGAAAGGCATGAAGCTGGCCGCCATCCAAGGACATTTCTTTTGCCTGTAGAAGCCCAGCCCAGGAGGACGGTAATTGGATTTCGAGTTTTAACTAAGTAAAAATGATTTTTTACAAAACACAGACTGTCTTGTTAACCTCAGGGTCTGGGCCTGCTTGAGTCTCAGGGTCTCAGTCAGGACCCCAGCTTGAGTGCGAATGTCGCCGCCCACTAAGGGACCTGCCTATTTTGGGAGCCTGGCTCTGAAGCCTGAGTCTTTTTTGGGCATAGGTTTTTTTTAAAGCAGCACAGCCAAGTTGCTGGAGAGGAAGGCGGGGCCCAGACGTGTGGCTGCAGACCTCCCCAGTGAAGGCATCTGAAGACCTCCACAAAGCCATTCCCCGGGAAAGCACGGAGGCATTGGTGGACGCTCCTGTGGAGACTTGTACACATTCCACACGGCCACTGTCAGGCATAACTGGCCCCCGTGTCTGAGTCCCCGGTGCAAATATATGACACCACCAACAGGACAGGGACACATTTACCTTCTTCGTCCTTGTGTTTTCTGGGTCAGAGGAGTCTACCCCTTCCTGCTGTCCGCCAGCTGGTAGAGGGCCTTCCTCCATGCCATCCTGTTCCTCAGTTCCAGCCTTACAAGGGAAGAACAGAGCAAACAAGACCAAGAGTGAGCAGAGGCAAGAGAAAGAGGGAATGCAGAGAGAGAGGCAGGTCTACATGCTTCTCCCCTGGTCCCTCCCAGTGCTGGGGAAACTGAGGCTCAGAAAGGAGTCGCTTACTCACACAGACAGACAGACAGATGACATTTTGAAAGCTGGTCCATTGGCTTTCACGGACAGAAATTCATGGCATCCTGAGGTTTGGCAGTGAGGATGACTATAAGAAGCTAAAAGTGACCTGACCCTGGCCGCTATGGTGACATCTCCCCCCCCATACACACACACACAAGGAAGGGAGTTGTCACCCAGCTGGTGTTGTGAACCAAGTAACACTCCCTTGCCTTCCTCCTTCCTGCCCTTTCCCCCCCACATAAGGTCCTCAGGCCAGGGACCCACATCTAGAAAACAGAGCAACAGAAAGCAGGTGTTTGGTTTGGGAATTAGAATTGCCAGATAGCAACAGGGAGCAGTGATCTGCAGTCCACACAGTACTGACTTCTACAATATTGGGGTTACGTGTATGTGTGTGTGGGGGAGAGATGTCACCATAGCGGTCACACACACATGAATACAGGTACCCATGGAGGTGAAAGACATCGGATCTTATGGAGCCAGAGTCACAGGCACTTGTGAGCTGGCTGTCGCGAGTTCTGGGAACCAAACAAGGGTCCTCTGCAAGAGCAGTGAGCACTCTTAACCCCTGACCCCTCTCGCCAGCCCTCAAAGCTACACTTTAAATGATTACGTAAATACCCACATAAACTCCTAAACTTGGCCTCTTGGCTGCCCTTTGACTAAAATCATTACCAATGTGATCCTTTGTAGAAAAGGCTTCGGGGCTGGAGAGGTGGCTCAGCAGTTAAGAGCACTGGCTACTGTTCCAGAGGACAGTTCTCAGCATCCACCTGGGGCTCACAAGTGTCTGTAACTCTAGTTCCTGGAGATACGACACCCCCTTCTGGTCTTTACAGACACCAAGCGTTACAAGTGGTGTGCAAATATATGTGCAGGCAAAACACCCCTACATATGAAATAAATGAATAAAAATTTCTAAAAGAAAAGGGTTGCTAATTCTCACTGTAGGAGTTTCTAGAGTATACTGTCCCATTGTTTAACCCTTGGTCACCAAGTCAAGGCTACTGTCTGGGCTTCTTTGGGATAGGGGACACTGTATGTTATCAACATCCTTGGCAAGAGGTTGACTCAAGGTCAAGGTTCTGATGTTAATTACTTGCAAGCAGACACACCCCCGTAAGCTGATAAGAGCCAACTGGAGCAGTAACTGGGGGCTGACTGGTGTGACTGGTTAGTACTGGACAGCTGGAGCAGGAGAATCCACTCTGAGCTTTCCCCCGTTCTTGTGTGTGCAGAGCAAAGCAGCTGCAGCTGTCCTTCCTTGCCACCAGAGACGGCTCCCACCCAACGACGGCCACTCACATTGCCGATGTCTTAACCTTGAATACGTTATCCCCGGCCCTTCCTTATGGAAATAAACTACCGTTCACGAGTGGCTCCTGCAGACATGCCCCTGGCCAATAGGGCGAAGCATCCCGTCCATTTCAAGCTTGGGGGAGCAAAGGGCAGCCTTGACGATGCAGCCAGAAGCCCCTTCGCCAGGAAAACCTCTGAAGAGGAGGAGGGAGCTGAGGCCTCCCGGGTTTCTCTTTGCCCTATGAACGGCTCTAGGTGGGGAGGGCACACACTGGGAAACGGACAAACAGAATCCATACCCAGCTCGCCCAGCTCTCAGACCAAGGCAGTGGGTCTCAACGGCGGTGAGCAGGTGTCACCACCACAGAGCCAGGAACCCTGCTCAGCTACGAGCTCTTTTCTGAGCTCCACCCTCCACACAAATCTGTTTTCTACAAAGCCATCCAAAAGGATCCCCTTAAAGTGGAAAAAGAACCACCCCGTCCCCTGCGCTTTCTCACCAGAAGATTTATTTACGTCCCCTTTCCCTGAGGTCTGAGAATCTTTCCTCTGCACCCAAGGCCCTGCGTGATGCGGTTGCTGTGGACACACTAGCGTGCAGTATTCCTGTGGACAAACCCACCTCGCCTCCTGACACACTAGCGCGCAGTATTCTGTTCCAACCACACTGGCCTCTAGCCACACGGGAGCCTTTGCAAATGTTGCTCCCTCTGTCCGATCTTCCTTCTCACTCCCCAAACATGCAGCCTTCCTCCAAATCTCCACGGGGGAGCCTTGGAGCCAAGACAGTTTCTGACGTCATCTCACCGCTCTACTGCTTAGCGCCACCCGGATGCTCTTCTCTTCATGGGAAGAGTCACTTGGCCTTCCCACCGTGTCCCAGGACGCTAGGGTCTCTGAACCAACCGAGCAGGAGTGGTGTTTCTATTTATTCTTCTAGACTGCTTGTTCCCCCCGTCCCTCCGGGGGGGGGGTGTCTTCTACAAGTCTGCATGCGTGCATTGGAAGACAGCTCAGGTGTTGCTCCTCCTCTCCCACCTCGTTTTGGACCAGGTGTCTTTGTTGTTTGCCGCAGTACCACACTAGCTGGCCCACAGGCTTCCAGAGACTGTCTTGTCTGCACCTCCCAGCCCATCATAGGAACACTGTGACTACAGACTACGTCCCTTTACCTGCGTTCCAGAGACATGCTTGCAATGAAAAAAAAAATGTGCCCACTGAGCCATCTTCCTCACCCTGGACTTTTGTTTTTTTTTCGAGACAGGGTTTCTCTGTATTGTTTTGGAGGCTGTCCTGGAACTCGCTCGGTAGACCAGGCTTGGTCTCGAACTCACAGAGATCCACCTGCCTCTGCCTCCTGAGTGCTGGGATTAAAGGCGTGCGCCACCACTGCCCAGCTTCACCCTGGACTTTTTAAAGCATGGGAGACTCCATGCAGATCTGTAGAGCTGGTTCTTGCTCTAGGTACCTGACAGCAGCTGGGACGGCAGGGGCGCACACTTGGCCATCTGGAGCTGAACAGGGGCTGGCTTCCTCCATCAGTCACCACCCCTTGCTTATCCATCCTGCCACCTTGCTGGCTTGGCTTCCCTGGACACGTCTGTGGTCCTTGACTCATCCCTTCTAGAAGGATCCATCCTCAGTGACTTGATTTCTTTCTGCGGTTCTAAGGTGGGGTCAGGACCTGACCCACACCCATGACCACTGAGAAACACACAGGGCTTCTCTGCCTGTAGAGACTGCGGAGCGTCGGCTGTGAGCATGAGCTCACTAAAACACGACTGCAACTAATGATAATACCGACTTAGCAAAAGCAGGGAGGCAGACTAGGAGTGTGGGCTGGCTCTCAGGAGTCAGGCCTTTGCCACCGAGTCATTGCCCCTTCCGCAGATGGGGCTCTACTCCAAGGACGGGGACAAGGCTGTGAACACAAAAGATTCTTGCATCATGGAGATGACATTTGGGGGTTTTAGGGTGAGGGTAGACACTATGTTAAGAAAGGTGCTACATGGCATGTGCACAGATCAGTCTGAGCACAGAAAGGTCGGAGGAGACAGAACGGGGGTGGGGTGTTGAGATGTTGTTCAGCAGCCGTAAGCAAAGATAAAGATGCTAAGAACAAGGAAAGTGGACTTCTAGAGAAGGAAGACTCCATGCCAAGGGGATCATGTGCTCCTCAATTCCTTGGCTACTTCTTAGCAATTACAGCTACCCTGTGGTGTCTGAGGGGGGGGGTCCTGATTTTCTCACATGCCAGGGTCTGCAGGTACCTAAGGCCCTTATATGAAATGCTGTGTATTTGCCTATAGCCAACACACACCCTCTCATAACCCTTAAATCACCTCTAGATCACTTTTTATCCCTAATGCTGTGCACACGCCATATGAGCAGCTGCTTTACTGTCTTCTTTAGATGTAACAAATTTTAAAACGTTTATAGACATCATTCAAGACAAAAGTTAACCCTCAAATATTTTCAATCTGTGGTCGGTTGGACCCACAAGTATGGAACCCAGGGGAACAGTTTGAAAAAGCGTGCCCTCTTCTTAAAAACACCAGCTCGCTTGCCAGGGTTTTAGAACCCAGCATGAGTCTTTACCAAGGCGAGTCCACCCCAGCCATTTCTCTGAAGTCACCTCCCGTGCAGATCCTGTGTGGCCAGTTGAGAAAACAGGGCAGACTCTGACTACTGGTGAGACCCCCTGCCCTTCCGCTATTTAATTACTTACTTGCTTGCTTGCTTAATCACTTATTTACTTGACGGGGAGTTGAGGCCTCTTTTAACTAGGCGACACTCCACCACCGAGCTTCATCCTAGTCATTCACCTTTTTTATTGAGTCAGGGTCTCACAAAGTTGCCCAGGCTGGCCTTGAACCTGAGATTCTCCTGCCTCTGTCTGCCTCTCTGGATTACAGAGCTGTGTCACCAGGCCCAGGCCTGGTGTCCTTTTTAACAGGATGCTAGGCATTTGTCTACTGTAGCCTTCTACGGTGGTCAGTGCTTTTCCTGATTTTTACATCTGTGCTGAAAACCCATCATTGGTCCTTGAAACGCTTCTCCCGCACCAAGATGCAAATGAGTTTTATCCAGTGAGGATGCAGCCGATGTTTCCTGCGGAGGACACCAGTTACATCCCTCTGTTGACTGCTCCCATAAGTTCCCTGTTCATTAGCCCCTCCTGTGAACTGACTTTATGTTGTATGCTATTAAGACGTAATGCCGGAGTGAATAAAAATCTTTGGCACGTGTTCACTGTGTGTTCTACCAGAATCATGATTTTATGTTTAGAAAAAAAAAAACCCAGAATCTCTAAATATGTCCTAAAAATGCATCCTTTTGAATATCTCTGGGTTCTTGGACTGTCACCAAGTCCTGGGTCAGAGTGACTAGAAGATACACACAGAGGATTTTTAAGGATTAAGTTTCTTGTGAAAACCCCTAAAACTTTACTATCTCAGCCCTATTTAATAGCAGGCCTCCGCTAAAAGAAGATGCAAGTCAAGTAAAAATTTCAACCTGGTACCCAGAGTTCCCCACCACCACCCGAGTAAGAACCAAAGTGGTGTAGCAGATGCTTGCAGGTGAGTGTCCACTGGTTGCAACGTGCCTGGATTAAAATGAAATTAAAGCCTTTTATCTGGAGAAGCTCACCATGCTTGAGCCTGCAGTATAATTTTAGGAGGCGGGGGCCACAGCTCCTTATCTGTCGCTGGAGCTCCGTGTCAGTGATACTTTTGGCATGCGCACAGAGCGGACCAAGATCTAATCTCCCTTGGGTAACTGTGGGTGCCAGCACCCAGGAACACCCCACCCTGGGCACACAGCTCTACAAAGGGCCTTTCCATCAAGACTCTCCTTAACTTCTAGCGAAGGCGACAAGGTCCCGTGGGAGCTGGCGCCAGATCCCCAGCTCCGGCTCTGGCTGTCCGTGGCGCGGTGCCCTGCGCTTCACTTTCCTCCCCCGAGGTACTGACGATGCTAACTTCGTAGGGCTGAGCGTTGGAGTTGATACAGTGTGCCTTGCACAGCACCCTGCCCGGGGCAGGCAGTCAAGTAACACTCATTCATGCCGTACGTGTTTACCGTGTTTACCACCAGCGTGCAAGGCGGGCGATTGAGCTCTAGGCCAGCCCCGCCTTCCCTAGGGTTGTGTTTGCGCATTTACCTCGTTCTCTGCCATTCTGCTTTCTTTTTTATCACCAGCTCCTTCTTGGTCTCTGTCGGGTCTCTTGGTTTTACTTTTCTCACCCTGCTTGGACTTGGCGCCCTCGGGGGCCTTAGTGATCTTGGGCTCCAGCTCGTCGTCCCTGCCCTGGTCCTCTGGGTAAGGGTGTCTCGTTTCCCGAGGCCTGGCCTCCTCTTTCCTCCTGGGCCTTCCTGGTACTTCCTGCTTTGGGTATTTGTCCAGCTTGGCTTTGGGTTCCTTCCGATAGTAGGCATCTTCCCGCCCTTTGTAGCTGGACAAAGGATGCAGTGGGCCGGGGGACCCTGACCTCAGGTGCTTTTCCCGGTGGCCCCTTCCTCCTTCAAGTCGCTCGTCCAACTCAGCTTTGTCCAGCTGCCTGGGGTAGTGTTTCCGGTCATGTGCCCAAATGTCTGTCCTATCCCTCTTGTCTTCCCCATTCTCCCTCCAGGGGACAGGCTCTCGGTCGTCTTCCCTCCTTGCATAGGGAGAGTGCTCCCAGGAGTCCCGGCCATTGCCCCAGTCAGCCCGAGAAGGGCCTGGCGGACTGTGGGAAGAGCTGCAGGAAGTGAAGCTTGGAGTGTGGGATCTGGGGGAAAGCGACCGGCTCACTGGACTTCGAGAACGGGGCCGCTCCGATCCGTATCTGGGAGGAGGAGAAAAAACAGCGTTCAGAAGCTGCCCAGCCCATAGCCCGCATCACCCAGATGTAGGCGCGCATCCTCTCAGAGATATCCTTGGAACCACCCACCCACCTGTTCATTCATAGTCACAACCCAGCGCTGGCAGAGTGGCCAGGAGCAAGCCTGTCCTCCCTCCTGACGTGGGTTTCCCCCTAAGCCACTCTGCTCCTAGCTGGGAAGAAAGATTATACTGGTTTGGCTCAGTCCTACCTTACTTCCTCTTAGAAGCTCCTCTGTTCAGGGTACAGGCCCCAGGAAAGTCTGCTCCTGGGGATACACAGGGGAGGACTACAGGGCTAAGTGGTGAGGTCGCCCTGCCTACCCCTGGAGACACTGCCTAACCCGGATTCAGTGTTGTTTGCTTGTAAGACTTGAGGCACTCCTCTACCTGGGCCCCATCAGAATATAAGTGACTCCCCTTCTTCCCCTCCTTTAGACCTCATCGCAGGCACTTAAGATTCTGGGAACGGAGGAGCAAGGCTCGCGGTGGGGGAGTGGCAGGGGTGAGGAGGCGGGCTCAGAGACCCACGAAACAAAGAATCGGGAAGACCTTTTCAAATGTGAGACACTGAGACCCTCAGCAAGCGGATCTGCCCAAGGCTCGGAGCCAAACCTCAAAGTCTCCCCACTCTAGGTAGCCACAGACCTACAGGTACCATGATCTATCCTTAGACACGCCGTTACAACCCCAAGTGGCCGCCATCTTAAATTTAAAAAAAATCAGACACATTAAAAGCCCAATTCTGAACACTCACATGTTCCCTGAGGCTGTTAAGCAGGTCACCTGAATCACACACCTGATACCATTGAAGGACGGAACATTTCCATCGGGTTTGCAAATCCTGCCAGGACCTCTACTAGGACTAGGTGAGTCTCTCCCTTAGCCAACATGAGAAAAGTCTGGACCTCTGTCCCTCTACAGTTAGGCTAGAGAACCCCCTGTGGCCACTCGGGAGACTGCAGGTCTGGCCTTGTTTTCCTAGCTTAAGGGCCATAAACGAAAGAGGAATTACAAGCATTCAGTGTCCAGCACCAATGTGCAAGGAACCAGGTGGTTTTCTGTTTTTTTTTTTTTTTTTGTCCCCATATACATCCTGACTTCTACATCTACATTCAGTTTGTAAGAATCAGGAACTGGCTACCTCTAAAGAGAATCTGCCACCACCATAACATGTCGGTGACGTGTAAACTTGCCCCCACAGAACCAGAAATCAATCTCAGCCGCTGCCTTCCTTTCCACACAGGAGGAACGTCCAGGGAAGCCCAGCATCCCTTGTGCCCCATCTGGCCTGAGCCGCACTTCTGGATTACGGCGGCACCTTTTGTGTGAACAGGGAGGAGAAGGGGCTAGAAGGCCAGACGGATGGATCAGAGACGAGGGTAGGCCAAGTTACAACTCAAATCCCCATGCTGGCTAATTTTATGCTCACTTGACACAGACTAGAGGAGACTATCCTAATTGAGAAAATGCCTCCACAAGATCAAATTGTAGGCAAGCCAGAAAGGCATTTCCTTGATTTGTGATTGACGGGGGAGGGTCTAGCCCATCGAGCATGGTGCCACTCCTGGGCTGGTGGTCCTGGGTTCTGTAAGAAAGCAGGCTATGCAAGCCATGAGGAGCCAGCCAGTGAGCAGCTCCCTCCATGGCCTCCGCATCAGCTCCTGCCTCTGGGCTCCTGCCTGGTTTGAGCTCCTGTTGTAAATAATCTTTTTGTACACTGTGAAGATGGATCACTTGGATTGGTTTCATAAAAAGATGAATGGCCAATTGCTAGACAGGATTTGGGGTGGCAGAGAGGATGCTGGGAAGAAGGCGGAGTCACCAGCCATACACAGAGGAAGCCAGGCATGCCAGAGGGGAGATTAAAGCCATGAGCTGCATAGTAGCATGTAAGTGAATAAGAATGGGTTAGTTTAAGCTGTAAGAGCTAGTTAGAAACAAGCCTAAGCTATCGCCTGAGCTTTCACAATAAATAATAAGTCTCCATGTTATAATTTGGGAGCTGGCTGGGGGAACGGAGAAAGACTCGTTACAAGTTCCTGCCCCGATCACTTTGTCTGACGAACTGTTACGGGGAACTGTGGGTGAAATAAACCCTTCCCTCCCCAAATGACGTTTGGTGATGGTGTGTCATCACAGCAGTATTAAGTCTAACCGAGACATCCCCTAAGACAAGAAGCTGGAAGATATTTTAACCTCCAGGTCTCTGCCCTAAGACCCAGAGCCTCACCTGTCGGCTTCTCGGAACATGTCCCTCTCCCTCTGGGAATGGATGTCCTGGATGATGGCAGCCACATTTTTCCCAGGTTTCTAGGCAAAGGCAGAGAGATCATTAGAGAGTGCTGCTGGTGTCAGTGGGAAGCAGCTATGGCCTGCCTTGCTCGTTGCCCGGCCCACCAGAGGGGAAATGATACCTGCTGTGGGAAAGATAAAAGGAGTGATCCAAAAGATGAGGAGTGGGAGCCTGGGGAGGACCAGAGAGCAAGGCGTGTGAATTATATCTTACTACAGCAGATACTACAACGAAAAGGACTGGAAAGGGCGGGGCACACCTTTAATCACAGCACTCTGCAGGCAGAGGCAGGCCAATCTCTGAGTTTAAGGCCAACCTGGTCTACAGAGCAAGTACTGGGGCAGCCAGGGCTACACAGAGAAACCCTGCCTTGAAAAACAAAACAAAACAAATCTCGATTAACCACATCAAGTGTTGATAATGAGTTTATTAAGAAGGCTAACCAACTGCTCTTTCATTCTGCGCCTTTTTCTATGTGACGTATGAAGGCTTGCAGAGCCATTCAGACACAAGTGAACGTCACAGTAGCTCATTCAGAGAAACCCAGGTCTAGCAGACAGAGACGGCAATTCTGCACTCTCCGCAAGGCACGGCTACTGATCTGCTACCGCTCCAGTCAAGGGTAGGTCTGGGAGAAACCCTAATGAAGGTGAGATCGGAGGAGGGCCCCGTCTCTGCTTTCAGAGTAGGAGCCTAGGGACAAAGGGAAAGATGTAAAAGGTGCAAGCCAGGTAGGGGCCACCTGTCAGATGCGGACGCAAAGGCAAGAAGGACAGAGAGAAGACAGCGACTCTGCTCCTGGGACATGAAACAGGCAAGGGCACAGACCCAGGGATTCAGCATTAGCTGGGCCAGCTATCGCAAAGGGCACCTCACACCTCAGGCAAGTGGTGCTTGTATTCCACAGAAAGAATAAATACTATAAGCATACACGATGCCACGTGCAAGTGACCATGTCGCCCCGAATGCACATTGTCGACTATCTCCACATCTGCTTGAATGGCACCGAAACCTTGCAGACCCCAAGGCTGTCAGGAAGAGGTCAAGGCTGGGCCAGGGCTGGGAAAAACGCTCCTGACCAGAACGGAGCCTTCCACCATACTCATCCTAGACAGGGATGTCCCAACTCCCTTGAGCTAGTCTGTCTGCCTTCCCTTGGAAGCTGGCCACTGCTTTCATGCAGCCAACACATGACAGACAATGGAGCTTGAGAACACTTTTTAGTGGGAGCCACATGAAGTCTATGTGACCAGTTATACACCGCCTAAGAGGCCAACTCCAGATCTCAAACCTGTCTGTGGCTTGTTCTGGGACAACTGAATCAGGCAATAGCTAAAGAATATGTCCCCAAACCGAGCAACTTTTCAGAACACAGTGAAACTCCCAGAGTGGGTTGGACAGGAGCTTTATTTTGTAAAAAAGTTTTAGAGGTGAATGTTTTCTACTCTCCTGGAGGAATGTAACGCCATCCCTGTTCTTCCTTTCAGACCCCCGGGAAGCGGGAATGAGAAGAGAGGGTAGCAGATAGGGAGACAGCTCTTACAGAGCCCCCATCCCAGCACAGCCAATGTGGTCACCACAAGAAACACTCAGGCTCTCCTCTCCTTGCGGTGTGAGTGTCACAATGCTGTCACCCTTCCAGAAAAGTAGAAGTGAAAGAGAGAGAATGTCAGCCTACGGTGACCTCTGGGGACCTTGTTATTATAGGACAATTTGAATACACAGAAATGTAGGCTGAATGTAAAACGACTCGGGTCCTACCCTGTGAGATCTGTACTCCAACCTTCTTTCCCACCCTGGGAATTCTGCTGAAGCAAACCTCAGGGGTCACACGCCTTCCTCTGTTCTACGGTGGCATGGATGCCGATTAATAGCCACAGTTAGACCAGCACAGTGCTCACTGTCAACACATCTTGCTGCTTCTAAGACGGGGCAAGAGTATAAGCCCGTGGTGGTCCCAGGAAAGGGCTTGCTTGCTGACAGAGAGGGACCAGAAGTTGGGATCTCAACCTGTGAAAGCATCCCTGGTTCCGCCATCCACTGGCAGAGCCTGGGGTCATGGCTTATTGAATGCGGGGGATTCACTGTCCACACCTAGAAAGGCAGGAAAAGCACACCTGTTTGGCCTCCACTAAAGCCTCAGGGCAGGACAAACTGCGTCCTATGAAAACTGCTGGGATGGGGGTGGGGTTTTAGGCCCTCTGACAGCTCTGTAGATGCTGGTTCCAGCTCCAAAGTCTAGGGAAGATGCTGGAATCTTCTACCTGAGTCTGAAATTCACCAGAACCAGGCTCTATTAACAGCCCCAATTGTCTCTGCTATGACTGGGTTTCCCAGTCTGTAGGCCTCCTTTCATTCAGCATCTTCCTGGGAACCCAGGAATGCTAATGCTAATTCTCCTGTCCTACTTGACCCTGCCAATCAGCCCACAGCCTTCCCCTGGCCACAGAGACTGGTTAGGGGATGGGCACATGTGCTAAACACGTGGGAGCTATTAGGGTGAGCCCGCTTCTTTCTCATTGAAGGGGATGGGACATGGCCTCTGAAGCTAGAGCTGCAGAGGGTTGCCATGCCATCTAGAGGAGAGAGAGCCTGGGGCTGCTGGGGGGGGGAGGGGATATCCCATGAAGCACTGGGAAAGCAAAGCCATGACAACAGAAAGCAGAACAGAGAACAACGTCTTGATGATCTCATCTGGGTGCAAGCATTCAGGTGTACCTGCAGACAGCTAGTCCTGCACTTTCATTTACATGAGCCAAGAAGTTCCTTTTTTCACCTACATCAATAGGCTTAACTGCCACAAGTTTCTGTTACATGCAGAGAGAGAGAGAGAAAGAGAGTACTACGTGTGTGTGTGTGTGTGCGCGCGCGCGTGCTTGCGTGTGTGTGTGTGTGTGTGTGTGTGTGTGTGTGTGTGTGTGTGAGCTGCTTTGTGCCAAGTCCATTACTACACGGTTGGAATACGCTGAAGGTCACAATGACCCAGAGGGACAGTATGACAACACGAGTTGCTGAGAACCCTTACCAAAGGTCAGAAAGCAGTGTGTTTTAGGCCTTTGCCACTCTAAGTGTGCTCATAGGACCAGGAGGGACAGCACAGAAATGCAGGATCATAGTCTTGCCCCAGACCTGCAGAATCCAAATAATTCTGGCCAGCACCCAGGTGCCTTCATGCACCCTGAACTTTGGGAAGCTCTGTGAGAACGCTGTCTGTCCGGCTTTCTGCCTGGGGGTCTGTGAGCACAAAACTACCCGAGTTTCTGCTTTCTTATTTCGTTTGGTGTTTTCATGTAGATGGTGGAAAACCTAACAATGCAATATAAAAACATATCATACCTGATGCAAACCCAAAGCAGTCTCAGGGTTTTTTGTTTTGTTATGTTGGTTGGTTGGTTTTATTTGTTTTGATGGCAGTGTTATTGACACAGGGTCTCACTGGGTAGCCCTGGCTGACTTGGAACTCACAAGACAAGGGAAGCCTGGTCTTATATTTACAGAGTTTTACCTGCCTCCTCCTCCCTAGCACCGGTGTTAAAGGCAAACACCACCAGACCCAGCCAATCGCCATGGATCGTCCAGTTACTACGATCTTGGGCAAGCTGGGGAACTTCCATTAAGCTCAGTATCTTCATCTGTAAAAGTGAGATTGTAATACCTGTCTGGCAGGACTGACGTCAAGATTAAAGTAGATAATGTATGAAGGTACTTAATACATTACCTGCCCCAGAGTTGCAAGGCCTAATTACAGGTACACATTATACTCTCATAATTACTGCGATTATCCGCCCTGCACACCTCACAGCATACTGATGGTGAGACTGGAAAGAAAATTGCTTGAAACCAAGGAACTCAAGTACAGCCCTGAACAGATCTGAGGACTGAGGTTCACAGAGGCTAAGCAAGGGGGCTCGAGGCAGGGGGCGGGGCCTGGGACGGTGCCACCATTCTCTACCAGGCGTAGTGCGCGTATTTGTTGGGTCCTTGTTTCCACGTCTCTCCTCCCATTAGACTAAGTCTCTCACACACTCGCTTCCTCCATGCCCAGGGCACCAGCTCAGGTGCCACCCACAGTGGGAACTCAGGGGACATTTGCCGAATGCAAGGCTCATCCCACGTGACGCCCTCATCCCACGTGACGCCTTCATCGGTAACTCCGCACCACCCCAGACTGTCTCCCTCGTAGAGTGTTGTTATGCCTTGGAACTTCAAGAAACTACTGTTGTTCACCCTACTTCGTATCTTATGGCCTTTCGTTTGGAGGTTCAGGCTCCACTGGGAACTCAGTGTAGAAATTTAATTCCAGCCCCCAGGGGGAAACAGGGACAGGGCGGAGCTTTTCACCTGTCCCGAGCTTTGATAAAGCAAGCAGAGCAGAGAGGGGCTGGGGCAGCTGGTTGACTATTATTATTATATTATATTATATTGCATATTTTGACTTGTTAAGATGTTTTTCCTTGCTAGAAGCAACCTTAGGCTTTGTCAACTGATGTCAACCCTCAAGATTAAGGGCAGATTAAGGACTATGAGTTTTGGACAAATTGGACCCTCGGTAAAGATGGAAATGAACTAGGAAAAGAAATCATTTAGGTAGAGCAGTGGAAAGCATAGAATAAGAGGGTAGGTTAAATGCCAGTGTGGCAACAATTACAATGAACCCAAACAGACTGAGGGTTCCAGTTAAGAGAACAGCAAACCAACCAGAAGACAAAATGTAAACGAAAATTACAGGCAGATGACTTAGAAAGAAACTTCCCACCAAGAAAAACCAGAGCCAGTAAACATATGGGGAAAAGTTCTCAACCTTTTAAGTCATCAGGAAAATAAAAAATAAAAATTGTGATAAGCCAGAACACGGAACCCACCCCACACCCAAATTTAAAAGTCAGACAAATTAGGATTAGCAAGAACGTGGACCACTACAAAGTCTCATAATCTCTGAGGAGAATGTCAGACTGTGACAAAGCACTTTGGTAAGACCTCGTTGTCACCTAGCAGAGCTGAGTTGAGCCTGCCTGGCCACCTAGCATGTTCAACTATATCCATGTGCGTTTGTACCATTGGTAACATGTTTGACAAGTAGATTGGCATTGGTGTTAACATCCCCAAACTAGAAACAACTTAATGTCCATCAGTCGTAAGACAGATACGCATGACAGAGCCACGAAACAATGTTTTACAATGAAAAGACAGGGAAGGGAAAATGCTAAACAGAAAAAAAAAAAAACAAGACAATGCGATTCCACATATACACATATATAAATGTATATTATATGCAGGTATTATATATAATATATATATTAAGAATGGGAAAAGCTAAACTCTACTACTTAGGGTGATATGAATAGGAACAACACAGAAATGATTGTCTTCGGAGCAAGGAGAGTAGGGAAGGAGGTCTGAGCATGAGGAGGGCTCCAAGGACTTCTGGGTAGTGTCCATATGTCATTTCTTGACTGTCGTGGAGCTTTTTATGAGGTGCGTGGCTCCGACTCAAGATTAATAGTAAGTCACAACTAGTGAATTCTATGCAGACTGTACTACTCAAGGAAAAAAGGACAAGAAAGGAAGAGGGCGGAACGAAAGGGACTGACTGAACACATCTGTGCTCTGAGAGTGGTCCGGTCAGTCCAGGGTTTCTTACAAGGACTTCAGATACCTGTGGAGGGTGCAAGAGAGAACACGGAGACGGGGCAGGGGATGCTGGAGGAAGAAAATGTTATCAGAGGTCTGTATGCACCAAGAAGTTGTACTTAAGGGTGGAATTACCAAAACACAGCCCCGGTCCTCCCCCCTTCAAGACTTCTGCTGCGTTCATCCTTCCCTCCAGAAGCCCCAGCTGCCAACTGGTCTTGAACATGCCTTGCCTCTGCTCACCTCAAAGAAGAGTTTCCTTTTTTATATGTTTTTACTGCTTGACTGAGAATTTTACTCGTATATATTGATTACGTTCTCTCCCTCCCCGACTCTTCCCAGACCCTCCCTCTCCCCTCAGTGAGGCATTTTCTTGCCATGCTGTGATTTCCATTTCTAAGTGATGCCCTCAAGATGGGTGACTCATCTTTCTGTTGCTTCCTCGGGTCTTCCTCCCGACAGTGGGAAGATAAATACCTGGCAAGCAAGAGGGCCCAGCTGATGCTCGCCGAATGACCGACTACATGAGAGAACGCTGTACCTTCAGCTGCAACTCCTTGTATCTCTTGGACATCCGGATGAGTAACTTCTCACCATTGATCACAGCCGACTTTTCTTGGTAGTACTGGACCATAGCCTGGGCAGCTTCCGTGTAAGCCATCTCTAAAAAAGCCTAGGGTGGACAGTAAGACAGACAGTGAACTTGACTTTAAGGACCTTAAGCAAATCAGTACCAGGTATGATTCCATGTTGATAAAGTGTAAAGAAACACATACCACAATCAATGCAAACAAGCTGGTGTTGAAAGTCCTTCTAGAGTGGCGTTGGGGAGCTGACTGGAAAACCTGATGTTCCAGAAATGTCCTTCATCTTAACCTTACTGCTAATTACATGGGTTACATATGTAAAAAAATTAATGGAGCTGGACGATGAAGACAAGTACACTATATGCACTTGGGAGTATCTGTTTTATAGCTCAATAAAAAGGGAAAAAATCAGCACAAGAAAGAACTCTCTTTGATCCCATGCATTCAAAGAGAACTTTTTATTAACTTCACCAAAAGAGCTCATTACAGGATGGCTCCTATCCTGGTTTCCATGGTTACCAAACACTATTCTTAATTATGTGTGTGCATCCTGAGTTACAGCATCCTATGGAAGGCCTTGTTGGGTAGCTGGGGGGGGCATTAACTCACAATTCCCACGTGGGCTCTTGTGCACATGGCCTTGGGCTGCCATCAGGAGACAGAAGCAAAAGCCCAAGGGGGCTACTTGAGCCCCGAACTGTCTCATTCGAAAGGAACAGATTTGAAAACTCAGGTTTATAAGCCCCTAGATGGACTGCCAGTCTCCTGTCGCTTGGAAAAAGGAGGCCCCAGACCCTACTGACATGGCGTCTTCCCGCTTTCCTTAACTGTTCTGATAAACATGTTCCGTGTCTACAGTTTCTAACGAACTGTGTCGATGGACATGTCCATTTATCCGTTTATATTTGTTTAAAAGTGGGGTGGACTGACGCTGGTCTCTCCACGTGGAGGCTTACAATAATGCAAAGATACTCTAATCCATCAATTTATATTTAGGGGACAAGAGCTTCCCTGTGTCAGTGAGCAACTCATGCGGAAGTGACCTTCCTCAATTGACAAAGGCCTGCTCTGCCTGTGACCAGGGAGTTCTTGTTATAAGCTCCTAATCCCCCCCATCCTTCCCCTTTTCATTGCCTTATCTTCCTCTCTCTCTACTAGTTAATTTCAGACACATGGCTTTTTTTTTAACCACTGTACTATGAAGTATGAGTGACAAAGAAGGCAGAATCCTTGGGGTTTATTTCAAATGATTCCACCCCCTTTTTCCTAAGGTCCTGCTTGATCTAAACGATGAGCACGACTAGCTGTCAATCCTCAAATGGGGAAAACAATAATTAATCTAGGCAGCCTTGTTGCCTTAATGGTAAAGTTACCCAACTCTGTACGTTTACCCAACACAGAACTCCCGAGACGAACACGCAACGAATATCCCATCTCTAGGCTGAGGAACAGAGAACCTCTGCTGCGGCTTCAAATTCTAGAGTTCACCCCTACACCGAACCTTTAGCTTTCTGTTCTTTAGCTTTCTAAAGCAAAAACAGCCGCTGAAATGAAAGCAAAGGGGGCTTGGAGGGGCGGCTCCGTTAGGAAGAGTGCTTGAGGCATACGCATGAGTCCTGAGTTTGGATCCCAGCGCCCCATGTAAAAGTTAAGTGCACCCTCAGCGCTGCGCCTGCATGGCCGAGACCAAGAGGCTTGTGGGAGCTCACTGGCTGCTTGTCTAACTCCAGGTTCTGTATATGGCCGAGAGCCATAGGACGGGACACCCACCCCCTTTCCCTGGTGCTCTGCTGGAGCCTTCTGAGTTCAGTTCCCTTGTGCCCTCTGTCAGTCCCCCTGTGCTCTCCTGCTGGGCAACCTCACATATGGACACCAAGGACAACTCAGAGTATCTCTTTCCCAGCAGTTCTCATCTGGGTCCACACCCGGGCAACCGGAGCTGATCAGCTTAGAGACTGGGACTGCGGTGTCAGCTCGGGAGATCCACAGCACAGCCACCGCCCATCCATCCGGAGTCCGTCAGTTCCTATTTGGAGGCCGATTGGCTTTTCTATGCTAAGGAGCGCCCACGCCAAAGCGACACCCTCCCTTCCAGCGGGTGTTGTAGGGCCAGAGGAGGCCGAACGACAGTCCCAGCATAAACCGCTGCGCTCAGTCAAAGCAGCCAAAGGTGTTGGTAAGTGTCTGAGGTCTCCGTTTGCCACCATGCGGGCTCAAGGTAGATCCCGCTGGGTGAACGTGGGTGCGCCTACCTACCTGATTGGTTGACTTCATGAGGATGTAATTAGTGACCTTGCCAAAGGGCAGCCCCAGGTTAATGACGTCATTCTCCGTGCAGCTGCCCTCGGGGAGATTGCAGATGTGCACGACCCGGCCAGCGCCTTTCCTCTGTGCCAACTGCTGGGGACAAAGAGCAGGGCTGAGTCTTCAGAGGACATGTCCCTCTACCTCTGTCCAGACCTTCCCAATGGCCGTTCATAAAAACCAACGTGGGGAAGAAACACATCCACAGACACACACACACACACACACACACACACACACACACATACACACACACACACACACACAATGCCAACTTTATGTCTTCTGGCTACGAAAAGGATTCCTATTTCCAATGAGTAGTGATGCACAAGGCTGGAGAACATCTAAGGAAGCGTCCATGTACTATTAGTGGGAGTTGCATCCTGACACCCTTTGAAGATATGTCTTCTCAATATTAAATAAAAATTTAAATATATATATACATAGGCCATTAATCCCAAGAGCCCACTTTTGGAAAAGAGTGCCTGATTAAAATTAATTAAAATTAATTTAAAGGAGCATGTGTACAAGATACTTCCTGAATATTTATGGGGTGGCAGAATGTTTTGGGAACAGCCTGCAAGTCCAACAGTTGGAGAATGCTTAGGTAAATGACGGTTCGAGTGTACAATGGAAAAATTCATAGGCATTAAAAGGGAAATCAATGTGCTGATATGGAATATATTTAAGACAAATTGTCAGATGGAAAACAGGTTGCAGATTAGCATGTATACTATAATGTCTTTGAAAGGAAGAATCACAAAGAAAAAGGAGAAAACAAGAACTGTAAAATTTGTGATAATTATTGGAGGTGAGTGACAGGAACCTAAGAGTTAATTACGCTCACTCCTATAAGTTTGAACCTTTGAATTTTGTGGTTTGTTTGAAGTGAAAATTTTTACATGTTATCAGCAAACACTGAGAAAGACGGGGAGCGAGTATCAACCTGTCAAGGCCTGTCACTCTCAGAGGAGCAGAGCAGGACAGGGAGCAAGGACAGACACGCTCAACCTGCTTGAGATGGACCTTGTATTGTTCAACTTACAATTGAAAAAAGTTCTACTAGATGAAAGGGGGGACAGGAAGGCTTTAAGACACCGAGTAAGAATTCACCAATACTCACAGCACCAACATGTGGTTTATGGCAACCACTCTTCAAAACACTTTTCAACCTTGGGCTCCTTTCTCCAAACAGCAGCCTGCTCAGCAACCAGATACACTCAGCAAATAAAAAGGGGGCTGTTCTGGTCAAACTTTGGGGTTCTAAACCCTGCTTCCATCCCCACCAGATAGATGCGAACCAGGTCTAAGGAGCACAGCTCTGAAGCCGGGACCTGTGTTGGTTCGAGCTCCTGGAGGATGCGCGTATAGATTTGCTTCCATCAAAGTTTAGTCAGCCCCAACGTTCAGGAGTGCAGGAGTCAGGAACCAGATACCAACCCAGCATGGGAGGAGACGGGCATAGTCTTCAAAACCCAGAAAGCAGCTACATTAGCAGTCATCACTTTCTAAGTAGGGTGAATTTCAGTATCTAATTATGGTCTGATTCTGCTGAGGTAACAGAAAGGGGGTATTTCAGGCCGCATCCCTAACAAGGACTGGTACTTAGGGAAATACTACCATGAAAAGCCCTCATTTGTCTCATCTTGGCTGAGAACAATTAGACACAATTATCATTTCCTTTTATGGTTCCGCCTTGAATTAGAGACTCTTCAGGTGTCCCTTCCAGACTCCATCCTCCAATGGTGTCCAGATGTCACGCACTTTCCCAAAGGGGAGCACTGATTCAGCATGTGGCTCCCAGGAGCACCCACTTCTTCCCCTAGGGAGGAATCCACCACCACCACCAACCCCACCACCACGCCTGCTTGCAGGGAGAGTCTGCACCTAGGTAACAAAGAAGGAGTCCTCTAATGAGGATGAATTGGCTGCTCTTAAGAGCCAGGGCAGGGATCTTTGCCTCCCACTGAGGTGGTCTGAGACAGACCCAGCAGGACTCCCAAGCAAAGCAAAGTGGCTGGTTCTCTGACTCTATACCAGGAAGGTTAAGCCTGGGCACTCTGCCTGGCTGGCTCGTAGTAGGCACGTTTCTGCCCCTACGTGACCTTGCTGCTGCGGTTAGCCTGAGTGACCTGTGCTTGGACAACACAGCGGCCAGACAAGCAGGGAGATTCTGGGCAATCTCTCTCCCTGCAAGTCCAGTTGCCTAGTGACCAGGCACGGGAACCAGCATCCGTGTGCCGTGTACTCTGAAGGGACAGTTTAAGAGGCCTTCATCTGAGCCCAGCAGAATACACAGGACACTCATCCCAGAGAACAAACCACAGACTACCAGTCGCCAAAGACCTACAGACTTCCACTCACAGGCCCTGAGATAAGCTCATCGCATAGCTCTTGCTCACATTTAGAAGATTCGGTCCTTGACCCCTCCCCACACTCCAGTCAGAAATGGAAATGGACTTTTCTTGATTCTTTAGATGCTATGAAAGATTAGTGTTCTTCTAGTTAGTTATCTCGATTTGGAGCTTCCCAACCAGCGAACCACACAGGTTTTAGATGTACCAAGATACCGATTTTCTAAGCCTGGAGGCCATAGACCTCCAATGGCAAACCCCTCACTCCATCATTTTTGAAGTGAGCCATGAGATGAAAATCTTGAGAAGTGTTATGTTCATGGTTTGTTCTGGGTTGTCTGGTTTCAGATGTGATAAACCCTATACTGTCAGAGAGACAAGATGTTCTTTTTATGAATTAAATTATTTTGCTGATATTTTATTTAGAAAACTTCAGGCTACATTCTTTATTATGACTTTTGTAGATACTAACTGCAAGCCAAGTTTGATTTATAAAAAAGCAAATAGGTACTATTGCTCTATTCTTGAAACAACTTATATAAACATGTCTATTATTTGCCCTGCTCCCTATGAGAGATCTTAGCGAGGAGAGAGAGGGATGGTCAAAGGGAGGAGGGAGGCAGAGGGATGTCCCCGGGGGCGGGGTACATCTGGAGTGAAGCTTGATCTCTGAGGACTCCAACAACTGCAAAAGCTTTTGATCAAGCAGCAGGATGTTATGTGGTAATCCCCAGGTTGGGTCCACTAATTAGCTCTAAATGATCTTTGGAGTTAATGATACAGTAGCCTTTACCTTATCTGTAGGGAATTCCTTCCAAGACACAAAACATTCCAAATCCTGCATATACTAGTTTTTCCTGCATACATACATACATACATACCTATTATCAAGTTCAATTTATAAACTGGGCATAATAAAATATTAATAATAACTACATAAAACTAGAACAATTACAACAATATATCATAATAAAAGTTACTTAAAACTTACAAATAAACATAGATTGTTTCTGGAATCTTCCATTTAATATTCTCAGACCTCAGCTGAACTTGGGCGGCAGAAACTGTGCAAAGTTAAACCAAGGATAAGGGGGACCACTGTGTCACGCTGATGGGTGCTAAACAACACCTTTGACGTTCTAGCAGCTGAGGTGACATCACGCTGCAGTCTATTATTCCATGTCCCATTAGACATGGCTTAAGAATGCCGGCAGCTAGCTCGGCGATCTAACTTAGCATGTAAAATAACCGAACACCTAACTTAGGAGCAATCAGCTGGGGCTCAGCCCATCACAGGCAGCTAACTGCTCAGCCCAGGTTCAAATAGGGCAAATACCAACAACCTATCTGATTGCCTTGTGACTCACTTCTTTTCCTGTCCAAAAAATGCTGCTTACTCTACTGTGGGGCGCTGCTCTCCCATTACTCTGGTACCAAGGGATGCAGGGGTCGTCTGGTCAGTTGGAGCCCTGAGAGACTCAACTCATTTAATCTTAGAATGGTTAGAAAATCTGACTGGTGGTTCTGTATTTTTGATTAGTTAAAAAAAAAAGGGATAACTGGGTAACACATTAACTGTGGTAGCATGTTATTTATGATTTAATAAAAGATTGCCTGATGTATCAGAATGCAAAGTCAGCCACACTGGTTAGCTATAGAAGCTAGGTGGTGGTGGTGGTGGTGGTACCATTGAATAACCAAAAACCACCCACCCCACCTCTTGGGAATGTGGGCATCATGTTCTTAAAGTTACTTCCTGTTGTCTGGGGGTGATCTTTAGGAGATCCTGAAAAGGAAAATTTGGGGTTAACTGTCAAGCTGTATGGTTTTTGTTTTGTTTTGCCCAGCCTCTGCATAATGGGAAAGTGCAGGTCTTGTCTCAAGTCCTGGATAGAATAGTCTGTGAGGCTGGATCATCTCAGCTAGCTACCTCGAAATCATCCTGAGCAGTGTCTGTGAGGCTGGATCATTATCTCACCATCAGCTTGAACCCCAATAGCTATCTCTAGGTTTCTATTCTTCGTGTTTCCATCAACTTTGATGGCTAAAACCACTTCCAAACATGGAATGCATGTGGGTACCTGAGGTAGAAATAACAGGGAGGGTGTGGGAGGGAATTAGACTTTAAAATCTGGAGGCTTCTTAACGAATGAGAACCTAAACATAAGAGACAGAGGACCGGGGTTCAAATCCCAACCCAACTACTGATTAGGAGTGTAGCCCAATTCCCTTTACAGTTACTAGTTCCCCAATACCTGGAATGAGGGCGGACGCCATATGTCTAAAGTCCTTCCCAAATGTCCAATAACTGTGCCTTGTATCTCTAAGCTGGACAATGCTAGTCTTCCTGGAAGCTTTGCCAAGCAAAGCAGGACATGAGGGTACAAACAGGAAACCTGGCTCCTCCCACCCAGCATGGCCCGTGCACCAGTGAATTTGTCCCCCTCTCCCTGTGACCAGCTGTTCAGTCCACAGGGCTATCCACCTTTCTGCGTGATGCTGGTGATTTTAGCCTTATTGTGTCGTGGATATGCTCCTGGGTCTGTCGGCTGCCCTGCTCTAGTGATCACAGCCATGGTGTCGGAGAAGCCGGAGGGGACAGATGTGCTGGGCGCAGTGAAGACACGTGTATCTGGGGTCTCTCTAAGGGACATTCCTGCATCTAGTTCATGCTTTACTGGCCCCAGGCACCAGGGACAGGACGGAAGGAGGACTGACTGTTAACTCTGTACCCCTGTGGTTTACTGTGAGCAAGTTGCTGAATTCTCCTAGCCCTGGCTTTGCCTGCCTACAAATCCACGGCCTGATTGAGAAGGTGAAATGCCACACCGTAAGTTTAATGTTTTTCTATAAAGTCTGACCCCCCCAGGGTTCCTAAATAAATAAACATTTGTCTCCTTCCTCTTTCTTTGGAAGGGGGTGCTATGATGCTCTTGGGCTGGGAAAGATTATTACTGGAATGATGTGAGAGAATATCCATATTCTCAAGAAATAAAATGAGCAGTGTTTTCAAGCTATCGCTAAATGGTGATTCGGGGAGGAAAATGCCTATCTGACTGACTGACAGACAGACAGACAGACAGACAGACAGTGAGACACAGAAAAGAATGATAAAGTAAATTGCAGGAGAGAAAGGAATACTGAACCCTGCCTTCCTGCCTGGCAAGAGTTGCACAAGAATGAATCCCTTATGTCTCTCTCTCTCTCTCTCTCTCTTTTTTTTTTTTTTGTCAGTTTGAAACATATTAAAAGGTATCAGTTTTTTCCAAGAGGAGCTCTGGGGTAGAAACAGATGGGTTTTAAGGAAATGCTTGGCTCTCACCAGCCTGCATTTTGGCTGTGAGATGCTGATGGGCTCAGTTCACACCCACCAGGAGCTCTGCTGCTGAGCTCCCAGGACACACTTATGAGACAGGTGCACTTGAGACTGTGCAACCCAAGGTCAGGCCTCTCAAAGAGCTAAGGTGTCAGGGCTGTAACCCAAGCCCCAATTACCAAGCTGAAAGGACAGCCATCCTTTGCCAGCTGGGAGGCACTGACCTCGGATGACCCCGATCGGTGGCTTGGTCTGTGTGTGCTGACGCGGCTTGGGCTTCTCGTCTGCCCGGTGCTGCTTCTAATGGTTCTAAGGCTGGACCCCAGACGTCTCAGCTTACCGCAAATCTTTTATAGCTAGGCGGAAATGTGAAAAGACCAAACAGACTTGGGGCTGCAGGTTCTGAGACCTTTCAATGCCCTTTGTTTGGCTGTGTGTGTGAGTGCAAAGAGATCCTGTTCAAATACCTCAGCATTACAATAAGGTCATGGTTCAGGGCTGCAGGCCTGAGGGGGAGAGAAGCTTCCAGAGTGTTTCCTGCAGCTACAGATGGTAGATTCTGCCTTCGGGGAACGATTTCTGGGATCCAACTAGACGTGCTTGGGTGATGTCATTTCATATGACATCTGCTGGTTGAGTACAAAATGCATATGACTAGGGACAAAGGACAGACGCTGATGTTATACGACTGTGATTCGGAGCAGGGAATGGACGTGGGTGTGGATTCCATAGCTCTGTGTCGTGAATTAACGTGACGCAGACATAGATGCTGCTCTAACAGACACTCCCAAATAGTTCATCGAGCCTACTAGGATTGACTACAGTACATCAATTTTATCGGTGTCAAGGATTTGTCTGTGGCTACCAGACAAATGTGGTTCCCATTCTGAACAACTTTATCCCCATAAACTTTAGAGTCATAGAATATCAAAAATGGAGGCTTAGCAGGGCATGATGGCACATACCTTTAATCCCAGCACTCAAGGGGCAGAGGCAGGTGGATCTCTGTGAGTTCAAGGCCAGCCTGGTCTACAGAGTGAGTTCCAGGACAGATAGGGCTACATAGTTTAGATCCTGTCTCAATAAGAAAATAAGACAAGGCTGGAGAAATTGCTCAGAGGTTAAGAGCACTGGCCACTCTTACAGAGAACTGGCTCAATTCTCAATTCCCATGATCCACACGGCAGCTCACAACTCTCTGCACTCCAGTTCCAGAGGATCTGACACCCTTTCCCAGCTTCCTGGGCACCAGGAATGCGTGTGGTGCACAGTCAGACATGCGGGCAAAACACCCATACACACAAAGAAACTAAATTTCTTTTTTTAAAAATGAAAATTAGGTGGTAAAATAAACTGTGTCCTATGATCTGATTTTGAAGTACCTTTTCTTATTAAACTACCTACACATACGAGTTGTGGTAAATGTAGCTTGTCTCCTGTTTTCTCTACAAAGTAGGATTTTCTATTTATATGTATGCTAATGTTAGAATTATTTCACATCATGGTGTATTGCTTGCTTTTGTAACAAGAGGAAAAACAATAAAGATTTATTGAAAGAATATTCTAAAAAAAACAAAATAAAACATGCCTAAGCACCCTGTCTCCTGGGTATCAGTCTCTGTAAATGAAGCTGGTTGTTTGGGCTAAAGGGACAGAAGCAATGACAAAGCTAGAACAGAAACAGGAAGGGGACAGCTAGTGTGGCTACACTAATCCTCAATCCTCAAGCATAAAGACATTGGGAGACTCATGCTCTGAGCCGTGGATTCAGAAGGCCTGGCAGGACAGACGAATGTTCTAGAAATGGCCAGCAATCCAAGGGACAGCCTATTCCTTAAGCCTGCAGCCTTTCCTTACTTATGAGTGCCTGGAACACAGATTATTGGTGAGAAAGCAAAATTCGAATGATTATGTACCATCCCACTAAATAAATGTGAAGATGACTATGATACTGCTACACTCAGACAAAGTGTGTCTTTTAGCAGGTGCAAGAAGCCTATTTAGAGCCTGAGGCGTCTGGATGGCCCTTCTAGAAACCTGATTACTCTGTTTATGATGACTAAGACAGCCAAGGAGAAGCCACGGCTCTGTCAAATAGCTCAGCCCAAGTAAGTGAAAGGCAACACCTATGTCTGGGGACCCTGGATAGAGGGGAAGGTCTAGGGGCACACACAAATCACACGCCACCAGCAAAGCAGACAACTGTCACTCCAATGTCCCGTCTATCCAAACAAACACGGAGAGGAAAGACTCTGACTAGCTTAGACTCTGGGCAAGCTTAGATTCAGCCCAGCTGAGGCCAGACGTTTGCAGCAGCTGCAGATGGTTTTGTGGGGGTTTGAGATTTTTGTGGTGGCCCGGGTATGTTTTGCACTCCCAGCCCCCCAATCACTTTGTTCTCCTGCTTAGAAACAGGGGCTTTCAGAGTAGCAATGGGTCTTTGTTATTCCACAAACAATAGGGGTCCCACTGTGACAGTCTTGGTTCCCTCTGGTTTTGCTCAACAGAATGTGTTCCTGGAAAGACGTAAGTAAATGACTCAGAAAGCAAAGGCCCCGGTATAGCCTGCATAAGACATGATTGCAAGGACAAATGCATCATAGCCCCCCTGGGCTCTCCGAGGGAGACTGTCAGTCTGAGTTTTTTTTTCAATAAGCATGGATTTTGTAAAGAGAAATGTATACCACACAGGAGAAGCTTCTGGAAACTCGCTGGAGCCTGGCAAAGTCTCCTTTGGTGAGAGTAGCCACCCTCGGATGAGCTGGATGCCTCCTCTGGAGGCATCTATAAGCTGGGGCAGAAGTCGATGTCTGCTCTGAAGGGCTGCCCCCAGCCTTCACGGAGCCTATGAGACAGTCTCCGTGGCAACTCGGCTTCTCTTCTACTGCTCCCAGTTTTGCATTTCTGGTTTCCCAAAGAGAGGTTCGCTTTCCTTTGATTCTGGTTGGCAGGACGAGCTAACCGGCCACCAGCACCGGACAGAATGCACTGGCAATGTAGGAACTGGAGGGAGTCCTTGATCCCTCAGATATCCCTGGGGAGGTCCATGTGACCAGCAAGACATCGTGACACTCAAAATGATAAAAACAACCAAATGATGCTCTCCCCTCCTGCTGGGGTCTACAGAAAGAACCCCAGAGGCCGAGCTCATCCTGGGAGACGCTGCAGGGCAGAAGAACCGGATACCCCACATTCTAGAAACTTTACATTATCCCCTGGCTGCCCAAGGCTGGGGGAGTCCCTGCACCCCTAAGGTTGCCTCAGCCACTCCTCCCAGGGAGTTTGTGGGCTGGGGCATAGGGAGAAGGAAGAGAAATTCACCAAGAAGAATCCCTGCAAGGAGGAGCCCCCGAGAACCTGGAACCTCACCCTGACTAAACCAGTGTGGCTCAGTAGTGTGTGTGGGGGGGGGAGTCTCCCACACCCAGAGCCTTAAACCACCTCCGTTTTCCAGCATTGTAACCTCAGGAAGGGCACCAAGTCTCTCTTGGTCCTAGCTCCTCAACTGTACAATAAAGTAATAACAGTGCCTACCTGTAGGGCTGTCTGGGGGACTAAATGAACTAGTATGATGCAGAAAGGCTAAGAACACATTAAGAACAAGAGAAATGTCAGCTGTAGTTTATAGCATCTGGAGTCTCCATCTCCCGCTAGCTGCCGTAGAGAAAGTCTAATGTTTTACAAACTCCTCGCCTCTAGCCAGTCAGGCGGAGTAGTACTCAGAGATTTTTTGTTTTGTTTTGTTTTTGATTAACACAAAAGGTCAAAACCATTATTGATGCACATCACCACAAGGCTCATGTTTGCCTGGCGTGTATATAATTTAGAGTGCTTCCTGGGAACCTCTAGTCATCTAAAGAGAAGCAGATACAACAAGGCACATCAACCCAAGGAGAACCCTGATATGGGAACCGGCAGAGTCACAGCTAGCACGAAGTGGTTTTCAAACCATTCTGGGTAGCCAAAGTGGGAAGAAGGACTCATTGTCCTGTAACAACCACTGTTAGAGCCGGCGTTGGTGGCGCACGCCTTTAATCCCAGCACTCGGGAGGCAGAGGCAGGCGGATCTCTGTGAGTTTGAGACCAGAGCAGGTTCCAGGACAGGCTCTGAAACAACACAGAGAAAGCCTGCCTCAAAAAACAAACAAAAACAACAACAACAAAAAGAAAAACCACTGTTAGCTCTGTACCGGACAGTATGCAAAGCTCTGCCACACACACCGTCCGTGTACGTGACGGACACCCTGTGGTCCATCCCAAGCCTCCCTGTCCCTCAGCCTTGGACACTGGGCTAGAAGGGTCCAAGATGTAAGGCATAACACAAATAAGTTACAGGCCACGGGAACACTTAGCAGTTTTCCCTACTTCTCAAAGTCATCATCTGGAGAATCACTGTCCTATTCAAGGAGAAAGAGGATGGCCCGCCTGTGGCCCACAGCTGTCAGCTCCAGAAGTAAGACCTGAATTTAGATCTCTTGACTGCTCAGCGGCCCCCACCGGAGAGTAGGAAGGATGCCTGGGACAGACTGGGAACTGTCCTGCTCATGTCTCTCACAGCCTCTTCTAAGTTTGCCCACAAGGGGCTCAAACGAGACCAGTTCTTCATCTTATACACCAACCTCAAGGTGGGGTCAATGTGCCAGCTCTGACACCAATTACCTGCCACCCAACCCAGCCTCCGCCAGCCTGGTCGGTCTCCTTCTTTTCGGTACCCGGAGGGAGGGCCCCAGCACATGGCGCAGAGGTGACTCGGTGGCCCATACTGCCTGGGAACAGTGAGGAGCAAGACTCAGAGTACCAGACCACATAAGCGGTGACTCGACTTTAAAAAGGGACAGACCTAATGGAAACCATGTGTTGCTCTCCTGGGACTGACCCAAGGCTACCTTGATCCAGGCGTGGCTCTGAGACATGAAAGCGAGTGACAGAAACCACAAAGTTAATTTTCACTGAAGCGTGAATTCTTCCTAAAGGACTTCTGCTCAGCATCATGGATAAATAGAAATCTGGGCCAGGTGGGCCTGGTGTTTGGCTATGACTGTCACTCACTCCTGACCTAGAAGCTGTTCCACACAGCTTGCCTTTCTGATGTTTTGTACAGATGCACCCGACACATGGAGAGACAGCACATGGAGGCCTCCCAGCAGAGCTCGTGAGGAGAGAGAAGGAGGCCACAGCTGTCCTCAGATTAGACAAGCAGAGGCAATGGCTCAGATGCCCACCAGACGCCCTCTGAGAGGGCTTGGCCACGTGCATTTGTTTTTCAGCTTCGATGACGCGTAGAAGGCAGTAACAGAAAAGCATCTGACGCCAAGGAGAGAAAGAGGCGCTACCACTATGGAAAAGGGAAGACACACCCTTAGGGCTTGAAGTACTGAAGTGCACGTTGCAGAGAAAGTGGACAAAGGCCAGTGCTGGTCCCCAAGATGCCCCAGCGAGAAAATGCTGTGGTGATGACCCAAGCTCCGTCCTGGGAACCCACACCAAATGCTGCATGTGGCAGGCTACGTCTGCGCCCCAGAGCTCCGCACGCAAAAGGGGAGTGGAGAACGGCTCTGGAGCTCGCAGGACAGGACAGCTGCCTTGGAGTCCACAGCAGCAGAAGCAACAGAGACCCCACTCACCAGGTGTGCGTCAGCGTGAGCACTGACCCCTGAAACCACTCTCTGGTCACACACACACACCACATACACACATACACACACACCACATACACTATACACACCACATGCATTCTCTCTCTCTCTCTCTCTCTCTCTCTCTCACACACACACATTCATATACTACACACACATTCATTTACCACACATACTACACACACACACACCACATACAGTATACACACATTCATATACTACACACACATTCATTTACCACACACACACACACACCACAAACACACACACACACCACATACATACACATTCATATACTACACACACTCACACTCAAACACACACACATACTCACGCACATTCATATACTACACACACATACTCTTACATACATATACACACATTCTCTCTCTCTTTGTCTCTGTCTCTGTCTCTGTCTCTCTCTCTCTCTCTCACACACACACACACACACACACACCAGTAAAAGTGAACACTTAAGCATCCCCTGCTGGAGTCAGGAACCTGGTCCTACTTGTCACTTTTACTCTCTAGTTCAAGTTTTAGAATCACACTCTCAGCCAAAGGGATCCACAGCAATAAAATATTAACAATTATTTTAAGGGATAGAGAGATGGCTCAGTGGTTGAAAGCACTTCCTGTTCTTCCAAAGGACCTGAGTTTGGTTCCCAGCACTGGCACCAGGTCACTGACAACTGCCTGTCACTTCTGGCCTCTGTGGGCATTTGCATACACATGCCATGCATTGACACAGACACACACTTAAACAACCCAGGGGCGTGCTAAAACAGGGTTTCACCTTGTAGCCTTGACTGGCTTGGAGCTCACTATGTAGATCAGGCTGGCCTGGAACTCACAGGGACAGGCCTACCCAGCAACACATTTTTTTTTTTTGGTTTTTACGAGACAGGGTTTCTCTGTATTGTTTTGGAGGCTGTCGGTCCAGCCTGGCCTCCACAGAGATCTGCCTGCCTCTGCCTCCCAAGTGCTGGGATTAAAGGCATGCGCCACCACCGCCCGGCCCAGCAACACATTTTTAATTGAGGATTTTTAAAATATAAAATCATGCTTTCACCCTAAAAAAATATGAAATGCTAGTCAGCAAGTATCTTTGATTTTTTTTGGAACATTTGGCAGAAAACTTAACACTGGGATCATGGCTGTAATTCCAGCATCTGGGATGCTCAGTCTGGACTAGATGGTGAGTACCAGACCAGGCAAGGCCACACAGTGAGACCTGTCTCTACAAACAAGCAACATCAAAAGAACACAGGGTGCCATCTTCTGTTTCAATACTTGTAAGATGGAAGAACCCCCCCTGCCCCCAGCCTCTGTCTAGGGATACAAAGTCCCTGCCTCATCCCAACCTGCGTCTCTTGGAGTAGACACGACAGATTATGCAATGCTTTGGGGAGGATGAGGAAAATGGAGGAGAAGCTTTTGTACTCACACTCGTCCCCGAGGAAGCCGAAGGAAATGTGGGGTTGGATTGAGCAAAGGTCCTTGGAGTGGCAGCATACGGTGTCCCAAGATTTGAGGCATAATCTGAATGATAAAGGATACCAGGGTTAAAAGAGCCGCAAATGTAACCTTCAGAATGCATAACTGGGGAGATGGCTTGGTTGGTTAATGACTGCCTCGCAGGCCTGGGGACCCGAGTTCTATCCCTAGACCTCACATAAAACGGCAGGTGTGACAGAACTTGCTTGTACCTCCAGTGTCAGGGAGGCAGAGACAAGAGTGTCTCTGGGGCTCCCTGGTTGAGCTGGAGACCAATGAGAGGCCCTGCCTCAACACACACACACACACACACACACACACATACTCACACACACATACTCACACACACTCACACTCATGATTCAGACACACATGGGAAGAGAAAACTGTAAATTTTCTCTTGCTATTCTTATTAGTGTTTGGCATGATGACACCTCTGGTCTTGCTGTAACCGGCATAGTGGAGGGTCTGAACCGTCCCAGAGAACATACTTGGGATGCACTGTCTATACATGCACAGGAAGTTCATACCCAGGAAGTATTATCTGTGCACACACAGGAAACTCATATCCAGGAAGTCCTGGATCTCAACAGTGGAATATAAACCTAAGGATGATGATTCTGAAGGCCCCTTCCACTCACCCTCATTTCCAGTGGGGTTATAACCAGCTGTGCTGTTTGGGGAGGCACACAGTGTCCCCTCTGCTGAAGCAAGTATACACCGGAGGCCAGCACTAGAGGAGAGTCAGACAATCAGTTTCTTCAAGAAGGTAAACAAAACATGACTATATGACCCCAAATTCTGCTATGTATAAAATACCCAAAAGCTGAAAATCACATGCAGCTTAAATACTCATGTGTAAATAAAATAAATATACAAAATAAACAAAGACTCATGTTTGGCTGCTCACAGCCTTTGTCACCATGGCGTGAAGTAGAAATGGCTCATGTGTCCATCCAAAAGATCAGTGGACACACTGCATGTGCATATAAGAAAGTGCACCAGTGGACACACTGCATGTGCATATAAGAAAGTGCACCAGTGGACACACTGCATGTGCATGTAAGAAAGTGCATCAGTGGACACACTGCATGTGCGTATAAGAAAGTGCATCAGTGGACACACTGCATGTGCGTATAAGAAAGTGCACCAGTGGACACACTGCATGTGCATATAAGAAAGTGCACCAGTGGACACACTGCATGTGCGTATAAGAAAGTGCATCAGTGGACACACTGCATGTGCGTATAAGAAAGTGCACCAGTGGACACACTGCATGTGCATATAAGAAAGTGCACCAGTGGACACACTGCATGTGCATATAAGAAAGTGCACCAGTGGACACACTGCATGTGCATATAAGAAAGTGCACCAGTGGACACACTGCATGTGCATGTAAGAAAGTACATATTGTTTATGTGTGCTGATGTAAGCAAGCCTCCTAAATACGGCAAGTTTAAAAAGCCAGGCACGAAAGGCCATATGCCATGGGAGTGCATCTACAGGAAATGTCCAGGAGAGGCGAACCCATAAGCAGAGAAGACTGGTCCCCAGGGGCTACCGGAGGGAAGGAGGGGTGGATGGTAGTGAGACTGGCACAGTCGCGAATGTGCCAACTGCCGCTTAGTTGTAAGATGGCAGTGACTCCACAATAAAGAAAGGGGAGGCCTTTGCAAAAGCTTTTTCATCAGCCGTGGTTGGATACCACGCATGCACTGGACTGCTTTAACCACGCTTAAGGGCACAGTTCTGCAGCACTGAGTACAGTCAGGCTGCTGCACAGCCCCGCCCCCTCCCCACCCCCCAGCCACAGAACCCTTCCCTTAGAAAACTGAAACCGTGCCTGGGAAACACCTACTCTCCGTTCCCACCAACCCCGGCCTGCTTAGTTTCCAAAATACCTCAGGGAGTGGAATTTTACAGCTCAAAGTTGTGTGTGTGTCAGAGCTTCCTTCCTTTTAAAGACTAAGTAACACTGCATCGGGTGGACAGCTCACGCTCTTTTCTCCGTTCCTTACTAACAGGCCTCCCCGTTGCTTTCACTTTGTGGCTAAGGTGAACAACCGGAGGCCTTGTGGTTGTCTGCTCTTCATCCTAGGACCTGGGACCCGGCCCTTCCAGCCTCTGTCGCCTCTGTTTCTGTGCTGGTCAGCACTTGACAGTGCCCAGGTCCACAACAGCTGCAGGGCCGTCACACCTCCTAACCCTGTTCTGTCTGGGGGCCGGGGGGAGCTGCCCTCACACGGCATCCTCAGTGAGGTCTCCCTGGTTGTGCCATTTGCAATCCAACCGAGAGTCACATGCACACTCGCATGCTCCCCATCCCTCCAGCATCGCATTCTCCTTGGCATTTACAGCAGGAGCAGCTCATGCTCTTGCATTAGGTTGCATTAAGTGGATGCTTCCGGAGGCAGGGGCTTCTTCCCCTGCTGGGCTTGGAGAGCACACATGTGGGACTATCACGCTTGGGGAGCACACACGTGGGACTATCACCCTTGGGGAGCACACACGCGGGACTACCGCGCTTGGGGAGCACACATGGGGCTACCTGGACAGCACTTACCTTTCAGAGAAGAGCAGGCATTTCTGGGCATGCAGCTTCCCTTTCACGTGCAGCTCCCAGTCCTGGATGAGAAGACCAGAGAACGGGGAGACAGAGGGTACCAGTTACTACAGCCAGGCAGCCAGGGAGCTCTGATCGCCCAGAGACTGGGCCGGTAGACCTCATCTCCATTTCTTCCCTCCTCCCCATCGCAGGTGCTGCTTGACATCCGCCAGTCTGTCTTGACAACCCTGTATCCGTCTTACGTGGCTACCCAGACTTGAAGTCCGATTCCCTCGTCTCCTCTCAGTAGACTTTGGACCCATCCCTCCCTCTGACCTCGAGCTCTTCCTCTCCTCAGAGAAATCCCACTCACTTCTTGCTCTATGGTGTAGTGCGTTCCAACGCCTCAGAAAATGGTATGCGAGACAAGACCTCCAGCCCCTGCTGGCTTCGCTGCTGTCACTGTGTACACACTACAAATGGGCAGATGTGTCTCACTCAAGTCACAGAGGCACATCTGGATGACACGAGCTGAGCAGCAGTGAAAAATGCCCTGTGCTGTGACTCCCGCTTAAGGAGGAGCTGTATTATGCTCTGGGGCAGGATGGGCAAGGGCTGCTGTGACCGCTGGCTGTGACTGAGTCTCTCCTTTGTCACTCTACCTAGGTGATCTGCTCATATGTCTGGTCCTAATTTTTTCTTACCTGTGAAAAGAAGGTAATGACAGTATCTACCTTTCGAGAACATGGGGGAGCATGCCTACAACCCCAGAATTCAGGAAGGCAGAGGCTAGCCTCAGCTACAAAATGGTCCAAGATCAGCCCCAGCTGAATGAGACCCAGTCTCAAAATGCAATAAATCAACAATAAAAACCAACCCCCTTCCAGTGTCTACCTCATACAGTTACTACTGGCACATGGAAAGAGTAATATGTGCTAACTGCTGCGTACATTTCAATGTTTTGAGACGTTTCATTGCATCACCAGCACCATGGAGCAAACATTCTCCTGTGGGGGTCCTGGTTCATAGCAACATAAGCATGGAGGCAGGGAGGGATCTGCCATGGGGGCAGGGAGGGGCTCAGGAGTCTCTCCCTCTAAACGATATATTTCGGAGTCTTCTTTAACGCTTTATCTGGCCTGAGAATTTATCTTTCGCCCTTGACCTGAAATTGCACTTTTCCCTCTTTCAGACTCAGTATGACACACATAATGAAGGAGTGGTAGCTTCCGGAACATACAAAGAAGAAACGTCTTCAAAGGGAAGTGGGAGTCCTCTGCTCTTTCATCCTTGTAGGAGAAGACATCTCCTACCTGCCTTAGAGCGGGGAAAGGACCCTGATTGAATTCTGAAATTCTTTCAGGGTCCACTGCAGAGAGCCTTTATCATTTATTACAGAAGTAGCAATTAATATCCTAGGCATCAATCCATCAGAATTAACTTCTGTTGGAGAAAACTTGTAAAGTCTGCAGGAAATACAGACTCCAGAATACCTGTTGCTATGGATTTGCTGCATAGTCTTGATATATAGACTATACATTGGGTGCTGTACATTCTCGAAAAGGTCCTGGAGAAAGGAAATTCCTTCTCAGTCAGGAGTAAGCAGTGACAGCCCCCATTGCTTACCCTGAGCCTGGAAGCAAAGGCTCAGCCCTTTCCTTTGATGTAGTATCGGGAGAAAATGTTTATATGGCTAAAGCCATTTCCCTTCCATAGCTTATGCAAGTTGGCACGGCTACTATGATGCTGTGTTTTCAACTATCACAAAAGCAAAACCCAATGGATGCAGTGTTTCTTTTTTATAAATTATAAGCTTCTAGTATTTCCTTTTTATATTTATCCATTGTAAATTTCTAGTTTAACTAACGATATAAACGCAGCTCTACGCACTAACACATCCTTCGCCCACGATCTTAATAGAGGGCCCTGATGACGGCCAGGTGCCCTACAGTCCGTCCTTGGGGCCCAGCCTGCCTTGGGTGACTCACCTTCAAGTCAAACACCTTCTTGTCACAGATGCTGCAGATGTGTGGCAGGTGGAGCGGAGCCACACCGTGGAAGTCATTCAACTCGTGAGCCTGCAGAGGCCGCAGGGACAGCAAGGCCTGCTCCTCCTTGGCCCTCCTCAGGGGGCAGCCGAACCCCTGCTTGCTGTTGTTAAGCCGAACTCCAAAGGCAGGAGGGGTCCTGTCTGCGGTAGGCTCCTCGGGATCATACAACTCGTAGGGTTGGCTGGCAGGTGGAGGCCACAAGTTGGGTCCTGCTGCAATATCAGGCTTGCTTGGGCCGGAGAATCCAGGGGGGCTCTCCCACTGACTGTTTGCACCTTGCAACAGCCCACCAACCTCCCCTTTCATACCCGCAGCCTGTTCAGCTGGAAATCCACCAGCTGCGTGTGAACCTTGGGCACCGGGTCCGTAGAAGTCTTTAGCAAAGGCATCTTGGCCATCCTGTCCCGCGTGGCTGTAGTGCCCTTCATAGGTCACGCTACCTGATGCTGCGGCCGACGCGGAGGCTGGCAAGTAGCCAGGCTGGCCCTCCGTTTCGGAACCGTAGGCCTGGCTAGGGTTGGCTTTGCCATACTCGTAGAACCCTGCACTGGCTGGTGCGGGCCCAGTCTTCCCAATGCCCAGGATGACTGCTGGCTGGGCAGTGGTCTGGGGCATCACCCCACTGAAGGGATGCACCACCACAGCATTGGGGGGCTGACTGGGGAGGCTCACAGACGGTCCTGGGCCTCGTGCCTGGCTGGGAGGCGAAAAGGCAATTGCACTGGAAGGAAACCGGGTACTGGGTATGGTGGCGGCATGTTGGGAAACTCCAGCGGGGCCATGCGGGGTGCTGAGCACAGAAGGGTGCCTCAGCTGGCTGAAGAGAGGCTGGGACATGGCCACTTTGGAGAGGACTTGATTCAGGACCGTGGCGGCTGCAGTGTTGCTGGTGACGGCCGTCTGTGCCAGCTTCAGCCGATGGAGGGTGAGCTGGGCCTGTAGCTGGGCCAGCTGGAGGCTGGCTGGCGAAGGGAGCAGAGGGTTCTGGTTACTGACTGAGAAGGGGCTCTTGTCCAGGAGCTTGGCGGCACTGCAGGGAGACAAGAGGGTCACAGGCATCGCTAGGTTTCAGTGAGTGGCCCCTTTCCCCGTGCAGACAAGACCCTGCTTCACAGATGCTACAGACAAGTGCTCACACGTCAGGAAGTGCCCAGAACTCCAGCAGAGAAGGCTACAGACAGCATGTCCAGTTGTTGAGGACCAGGTCACTGTCAATATCCATTTCTCGCCCCCAAGGGGCTCCCCAAAACTCAGGCACCTTCCCACAGATGGCCCAGTGCTATAGAGATAACCAATGGCTAACAATGCTTCCTTAACACCTACACTCCCCAGTGAGCTCTCCTGCCCATGGCAAACTCTCCCTGCTCCTAACAGCCCCCTGCCTCTCTTCTCAGCGTCTCTTGTCTAACAGCCTCTGCCCCATGGCCAATGCCATATTCCCCTATATAAGCCTGGACAAGACCCTCAATAAACGCGGCTTGACCGGAGAGTCTGTCTTGCTGCCCATTCTTAGTATCTCTTGTTCCACCATTCCAGGTTCCCGTGGGTTCGACCCCCGTTGTGCCCTGCTGGACAGGGCACCAGTCTCTCTGGTAGTTGGAAGCAACCATTACAAACAGATACTTGACCAGCAAAACATCCAGAATTAAAAACACAGATTCCACGATGGGAGATAAGGTGGAAAAACAAAACATAATTTCAGCCAGGTGAAGTGGCTCAGAGCTGTGGGACACCAGGACACAGGGATGCCTCATATTTGAGGCTAGCCTGATCTACATAGCAAGCTCCAGCCAGTCAGGGCTGCATAGTGAGATCCTAAATGATATGTAATGTATCATTCATCTTTGAAAAAGGTGGTTTGGAATGCATGGTCATGGCTGTCATAGCTTCTGACTCAATCATTCTATTGTGAAACTATGTCCTAAGGCAAACTTGATAGTTGAAAATGTTCCTCTGACATTATTTAGTGGTTAAGACAGACAGTGGGAATCACGTTACAAACCAGTAATGGGGAGACAGAGTTTGAGCTGGGTAAATTATGATATATCTATATAGCAAGATGTAAGTAACCATTTAAAATCATTTTTTAAATGTGTACACTATTATTGAGACATTTAAGACATTCAAAAAGTTGTGCTCAGGGCCAGAGAGGTGCACAGTGAGTGAGGGCCTGTGCCACCATTGCCTAGCCACCTGAGTCCCACCCCAGATCCCATGTGGAGGGAGGAGAGACTGACTCTCACAAGTTGTCCTGTGACTTCACATGTACATCATGATACATGGGTATGCCTGCCCCCACAATAACAATAATAATGATAATAATAATAATAATAGAAGAAGAAGGAAAAGGAGGAGGAGGAAGAAGAAGAAGAAGAAGAAGAAGAAGAAGGAGGAGGAGGAGGAGGAGGAGGAGGAGGAGGAGGAGGAGGAGGAGGAGGAGGAGGAGGAGGAGAAGAAGAAGTTGTAGAGATTTGCTCTGTTCCATACATAAAGTAAAAACCACCCTGGATGCTAAGCACCACTTGGGTCTTGCTCTCTTCTCCCATGAGGAGTTCATCATTGCCACTGGTAAACATCATCTTGAATTTGGCAAAGTCACTGGCTCCAAAAAAAAAAAAGATCACTTAAATTACATGAGAAAATCTATACCCTCCTTGGCTTGACAACTATGCCCAGAGTGAACTGTGTATATGTTCATGACATACATTTTCATCCTAGTCCTCATTTTAGATCCAATGAGACAGTTTTTACATATAAGTCGTACATGGAGCAACCAAAAAACTTTTAAATGAAAAAAATTCTAAATTTGAAATAGTGTCGGCCAGTTTTCACAGAATCTGGGAGATGGGAAAGGGTTTTCTTGTGGCCTGCGTCAATTGGCTATTGTGTTTCTGAGGAAACCAAGAATGGACTTGTCTATGAATGGGACAGACTTTCCCAGAGAATCTGTACATGTGGTTTCCACAGTTGAGACTTTTGGGTAAACCATATTTTCCGGGTCTTAAGTTCCCCTTGTGGGAAGTGAATGTAACCAGGAAATGTGTTCTAGATGCTGATGAAATGGAATTCCGAGGCATCTGAACGGGGCTGTGAAATCTGGAGTCTGGACTGGTGGCCCAGCCAGGCTGCACAATCAAACTACTTATAAAGATGAAGCTGGCAGGGAATGCACAGCTGGAACATGTGAATCGGGTGGGGGGGAGAGACAGAGAGAGACAGAAAGACAGAGAGAGAGACAGAGAGAGAGAGAGAGAGACAGAGAGAGAGAGAGAGAGAGAGACAGAAAGAGAGAGAGACAGAGAGAGAGAGAGACAGAGAGAGACAGAGAGAGACAGAAAGACAGAGAGAGAGAGAGACAGAGAGAGAGAGAGACAGAGAGAGAGAGACAGAGAGAGACAGAAAGACAGAGAGAGAGACAGAGACAGAGAGACAGAGAGACAGAGACAGACAAACACCTCCCTCTCCCATACTCCTTTGAGGAACGCTTAGGTTTCTCTTGAAGGAGACAGAGAGGCCACAGGAAGGAGGTAGGAGACCAGCGATCACCCAGGTGATGCTCCTGTGCCTGTGGGAGATTGTTGCTTTCTCAGTGGTCACACAGAGTAATGCATTTTCATTTCAGTTTTGTAAATCTGAATACTCACTGTCATTGAGGAGAGAGAGATAAACCTCTGGGGCAGAACCCCAACCCCGCAATTAGAGTGGGGCCCTCTCAGCCCTCTGCGCACCTCTCCTGGGCTGCTTGCTTGCTTGTTTCAAGTGAGATCCCAGGCATGAGGCACACCCACACTTAAGTACAAGAACAAAACACACTGCCAAGTCAGATTCTTTTTAAAAGCCTTTGGGCTGGGCATAGTGGCGCATGCCTTTAATCCCAGCACTCGGGAGGCAGAGGCAGGCGGATCTCTGCGAGTTCAAGGCCAGCCTGGTCTACAGAGCAAGTTCCAGGACAGCCTCCAGAACAATGCAGAGAAACCCTGCCTCGAAAACAAAACAAAAAGCCTTTGCTTTTCTTTCCCCTTTGCCTGAGGAATCAAAAACTCTCCTCAGGTTCTTCTAGAGACACCCAGTTAGCGGCCGTGCTGGGCTCTGAGGCTGGCTGCCTTTAACATGTGGGGAAAGAGGAGGGATGATTGCCAGTGGCATTGTGGACCTTTTCCCTCTGGGGAGCACCTAACCCTTGAGGGCCGGTGAGTAGCAGGCACAGCCGTCACAGCGCGGGAGGGGCTGACAACTGTTCACAGTCCAGGATAACTGAGGGGCAGGATGGTCCCCCTGATGAATGATCAGGCCTTGTGTACTCAGCTGCTGAGCCTCAGGCGGCTGACTCAGCTTCCCCCAGACCTGCCTGCTGCACAGGGCCCCCTCAAGCTTGTCCACCACACAGACTGTCCTTTCAAACAAGGTGCTAATGAGGTGCCAACGTGGTTTCCATGACCAGAGGAGCATGGCAGTGGAGTTGGTTTTGTTTTTCCCCTGGAGAGGTCAGCTGTGTTTTCAGACCTGAATTCTGGGCTGGAGCAAGTTCTTGCTAGAAGTTCTCCTCTTGGGTGTCGAAAGGCGAGGTGAGGAAGAGCCATTTCCCAGCAAGTAAAGCCAGCCACACAGCACGGCTGCAAGTCAGACACCCGTATGGCCCGGTATGGCGACAGAACGTCACCGTTCAGACCCGGCACACAGCCAGACCAGAACCTCATCATTCAGACCCGGCACACAGGCAGACCAGAACCTCGTCATTGGGATCCAGCACACAGGCAGACCAGAACTTCTGTCACTGGGATCCTGGCACACAGGCAGACCAGAACCTCATCATTGGGATCCCGGCACACAGGCAGAACAAGAACCAGATCTCCTCCCAGCTTCTTTGTCTCACAAATTCTCACTGTGCCCAGCTTTATTCAGCCTTACACAGAAGTGGTTTCACACAAATTATCCACACAGAATATCCCCTTTAAACCAAATCTTAGATGAGAAAAAGACTAATTGTTCTATTGAAGGGTGGGTGGTGGGGGAGCCCTAACATCCTTAGCCTGAAGAGTTAATAACCTAGCCAGGCTAGGCGGATGGACACACCTGTCAGCCCAGCCCTTGAAAGGTAGAGAGAAGGGTCGGGCGACTGAAGGACAGTACTGAGTGAGTTCTTGAGTTTGAAGTAGACTGGGTACACGAGTCTTCTCTCCCAAAAGTAAAGGGAAGGGGGGGAGGGACAGAGGGAGGGTGAATGGCATTTGGATGCCTCCAGTGTTCTTGTAAGTGACTATTTCAAGGTTTTACTGCTCTGTTTGAAGAGAGTCCCAAGAGGCACACCCACACTCAAATCCAAACACAAACACACGTCACAGCCAGATGAAGATGCCTCTGCTTCTCGTTCTCATTTGTGTAAGGACTCAAGCTCTGAAAAAGAAAGAAGTAGACCCTGGAGATTCTTGCATTTTCCCAGACGACTTGGTCTAACCTAGGCAGCCGTGGTAACTGCCAGGAACAATACAAAGAAGAAAACGGCTGTGGCCAATCAGAGCCCGGCAGTTGGTAGATGTGGACACTTCTCTTTTGAGAATACGCTTTATGTGGATAAGGTACCTTGAACAGTTCAGAGCAGAGAGTCTAAGGACACAGCTGCTAAACGGAATTCGCTGTTGAACCGCTGGGTACAGTCACTCACCACCCACTACAGCATAGGTGTTTCAATACACTTTTCTCTAAGTCTAGATTTTGAAACTGAATGGACGCTGGAGGATGACTCAGCAGTTAGGAGCACTGGCTGCTCTTACAGAGAGTGGAGGTTCAATGCCCAGAACCCACATGGCTGCTCGCAACTATCAGTAACTCCAGTTCCAGGAGTTCAAAGCCCTCTCCTGACCACCATGGGCACTGCGCACATGGTGCACAGACATATGCAGGCAAAGCACCCAAACACATAAATATAAGTGAACCTTTTTCTTTTCAAGACAAATTGGATAGATAGCGGAATGCTGGCTCTGCAGAGACGTCCACATTCTGAGGTGCGGAGCCCATGAGTGTCACCTTACG